AGCTTCAGAGCAAGCACCCCTCAACAGAGCTCCAAAACACCAGCTGTAGTAACACCTAATCAGAATTGCAATATCTGTATTGCGGAGTAAAAGCTGAAAAAAGTAGCAGAACTAAAAGGAGGTCGTATGTAAGTGCCCCACTTGCCTGATGCAGCTGTTAAGAGCGATCTACCCACTGTGAAACAGCTTTCAGTGCTTTCCCAGGTTGCCAAACGCCTCACGGTCCCTCCCAAGTCCTTTGCTCCTGCCTCATTGCTCCATGCCCTTCTCAGAATTCCCTGTCCCTGTCTGGCCCCAGCCTGATGCTGTCCAGCAGTGACATGCCTTTTCCCCTCCCTGAGTGCCTGCTCATACAGAGTGAGTCCCTGTTCTGCTGACCCAGGCTGCCTTGTCCTGAAACTTCAGTGATGGGAGGATGCAAGAGCACTGGTGGGATGCATATCTGCTTATCCTCTTTTAGATTCATTTGCTCCTACCAGACTTCCTATTATGGCTGTCAGGGAAAGCTGATCTTGCATCCTCAGCCTGGCCTGGGAAGGTTCTTGGGCAAAATGTGCTGGCAGCCTTCCTCGAATGGTGAGTCTGTGTATCCCTGCCCGGTGCTGCCAGCTCCAGTCCCCCTGGGAAGGGGGTACACCAGCAGCAGGCTGCTCTCAAACACAGACCTGAGCAGCCTAGGGGCAGGATTCGTGTCCAGTTTTGGCCAGGAGAAGTCAGAGGGCAGGGGCCCTGCTCCTGCACAGCCATAAAGCCACACTAGTGGTGCAGGGTGGGAGGCAGGGACCAAGGAGCGTGCCGCCTCCGCCAGCACATGGAGCGGCTCCAGCTCTGCATTCCTGAGCCGTTCTGCAATGTTTCTGCGGAGGCCCGTGGCCCCCACTGTCTCCGCTGCTGAGGAATGAAATGCACTTCAGCTCCGGAGCGAGGGAGCCCATCGGCGGAGGGAAGGAGGTGGCACAGGCACCCGCCCGTGCCATTGCCATCTATCCGGAAGCACTAGCAAAGCTATGGAGCTGAACAAACGAGGAACACCCTGTCATGGAAAGGGTTTTCCAAGTATTTTATATGCAGGGCGGGCTGCTGCGGTCACCAGGCCAACTTCTCTACATCTAAAAATATTCTCAAGTTGAGCATAAAGCTGCTTTCCATCCCTCTGCAGGAAAAGGAGAACATGCCACTGACAAGACAAGGTCAGAGACCATGGAGGAAGGAGTGGAGGATGTTGGACAGTAGAGAGGAACTGAGAGGAGCCAGGACATCTGCCACTAGTTCTGCATCCTCTTCTTGCCCTCACAAAGCCACCCAAAACCAGGCACTGCACCAGAGGCACCCCCTAGCACACCCTTCACAGGGGTCACATTGCTTCCCAAGACCCCGCAAGAAGATGACTGCTCAAGCCTTCCCACTCCCCAACACTTAAAAAAATTACAGAGCTCAGCAGGGAAGATGCTGATGACATCAAGGAAAACCTCAGAGAAAAAGGAGACGGTTCACTTCAATTTCCATATTTTATGGAAAAAGTCAAGGCTGCAGCAGCTAAACTTTGCTGAGAGCAGTGTACAGAGCAGAAACATTCTCTGCTGCAAAAGGAGACCTCCTCAAACTGGGGAGAGATTTGTCAGCAAAACGTGGCAACTAATTACACAAGGTTTGCAAATCTGCTGCCTGGTGCGAGGGCATGAAGGCAGGGCTCAGCCCCTACAGATCTCTCCCCTCTGCAAACCATGAGGAGAGAGAAAAGCTGGACTAGATGTAACAAATGAGACAGCGTGGGAGCCTGGCACTGCAAACCAGAAAAAAAAAAGGACAGTGAAACTCAAGCTGTCCCCCTAGAAAGAAGAAAAACAAAAAACCCAAACAAACCAAGTCTTGATGAGCACACACCAAATTTTTGCTGGCTCATCTCCAGAGAAAGCAAACCCATTCTCAGTCAAACCTATTCTCAGTCACACTGTCAGTATGCAAAGTCAGATAAGGCACCGGAGCAGCCGGATTGACACACTTCTGCATTTTATAGCAAGTTGTGTACAACCCTTTTTGAACCACAGGCATGCTTCTGAGCCAATCCCAAGATGACGAGGGGGAGGGGTTAACCTTGGTGGGGTCCCACCACTTCCCGCCGTGGCTTCCTCCATCTCACCCCACACAAGGTGAGCAAAACCCAGACAGTGGTGGAGGCCTGCAGGCTCTGCCTGAGGGCGAGGTCAGTGCAGGCAGGGCTGGGGGCACACGGGACCTGTGTGGGCCAAGGAACCACCGAGTCATTGCCGGGGACCACTGACAGCGCGGTTTTGTCACGTGATGGAATTGCTGTATTTTTGTCAGGAGTTCACTGCTGCGGTAACAGTTACATGGAAGGGTTTGTGTCTTAAAAGACAAAACAAAAATCAAGTATTCAACTGCGGACAGCTGGAACACTTGTGACGAGATTCCAGAACAAGCTGCGAATCTTCAGATACAACAGTTCTGCCATTTTTATTGCGTTCTCTCTTAAGGGATACTCCAAAATAGGTTTTGTAATGGGGTTTGTTTTCTTCCTTCTTTTTTTTATGGTAATACCAAATTTCACCTGGGAAAGGCCCCACTGCAGACCACCCCTGGACCAGGAGCTGGCTGCAGGAAGCTTTATCAGCTGCAAACCACCCTAGTGCTGGGGTTTTCCACAGGCACAGCCCAGTCAGTAGAGCCACTAAAACAGCTAGGAAGATACCAGGCCACCAAAACGCAATGTCTGCAGCAGTGGCTTGGCCAGCACGTCAGCATCTGCACCCCACCCCATCAACAGCATCAACAATTAAGCTGGTGAGAAGCCAGACTAGGCTCTGGTTGGTTCTCCTGCGTTCGCCAGTGCAGGACCAGTACACACAGCCACAGCAGGCACTGAGGCAGACAGGGCTCAGCCCGGCAGCAGTGGGAAGGCTGAGCCTGCAGCCCCAGCTGGTTTAGTGTCACACGCTGCTGAGACCGTTCAGCCCAGTTCCTCTTTCCCAGCTGCACGTCCACGTCAGATGGGAGGACAGCTTCTTCCAGCCGAGGCTGAGCTTGCTCCTGGGGAGCATGAGTGGCTGTCAAGGCCAGACACAGCACCCCAGTGGCCGATCTGCTGTTACCCATGGCTAGGACAGGAGCATCCTCTCACTCCTGCAGGGGGGGAGCCCTGCTCTGCACGGGAGATGGGCAGGGGCCAGGCAGCTGGGCTGGAGGTTCGCAGCCGCAGCCTGCTCGCATGCACTGCGCTGCAGCAGCTCCAGCTATTGACTGCCAACATTTCACACACATCTCACATCCTGTCTGCTCCTGCTCGGCATCCCCTGACCTCCAAAGGAATGGAGCACAAATCACAGCACCTCTAGACTGCCCATGACGAAGGCAGGCATGGGGACCAGTGGGACTCCAGCCACAGCCTCTCCTGCATCCTTAGCAAGCTGGCCCTCTAGCACAGGACCCCAAAAGCAGGGGTTGAGGTGCACTGCGTGCTGTCATGACCTCTGGAAAGCACTGGGTGCCCTGATCCAGGCATCCACGCTTCCCACAACAAGCAACGTGCCCAGCACTGTGCTGCTGGACAGGCAGAATGGTGAAAGAAGAAGAGAGCATGGCTGCATTTTGGGGTCATTTCACCCAGTAGCCAGCAAAGCTCAGTTCTGAAAAGAAGGGCACCCCACAGGACTCTCTTCCCCTTTCCTCAGTGTTCCCACTCCCCTTTCTCTGAATCTAACGGGATGTGTCACTTTGGAAAGCATCAGATTCCTGCCGCTGCCATTCAGCAAGGAAATGGAGTGCTTGGCTGGTGCTTCCCATGCACCATCACAGACTCACTTAGCACTTGGGTGCTTTCACCCTAGGACCCAGGGAGAAGCAGGTGGCCAGGACCCTTTACGGGGCAACTCACAGGTTTTGAAAAAACTAAAGATCCTAAAAATATGCGCCCTCCCCTTCTCAGCAGCGAGGCTCAGAGAGAGAGAAGGGAGTAAACAATTATCGCTACCAAATATGGGTCTAACAGCCAGCGATGAAGCCACAGCAGAAGCATGTAGACATCCTGCCGGCAGATTCAAAGGGATGGGGGATTTGCAGGGGCTGGGGCAGGATCCGGCAGAGGATGGGGCAGCGTTTACCCCTGCTTAGTTAGCTGCTTCGGCCGGGACATGGTGGGGACCCACACCTTCCCCGACTGGGGCCAGTCCCACCCTGCATGGGAACCTCCCCAGCGCCCCATCCCGGGGCCCATGGCCAGCTGGGTGTCCTGGTGGGAACTGTTGCGGTGACCTCCCTGGCTTCGGTGCGGCCATGGGAAGCGCTGTGCCCCCGTGTCCCCACCCAAAACCACGCAGCAGGACACAGACACCCTTGCCACTCGCTCTTCCGCGCGTCCGGCAGGGTGACCGGGGTGCCGGGGGAAAAGCTGCGCCTGGCCTGCCCCAAAGGCCACCCCACGGCCAGGCTCGTCCAGCTCGCTCCCACGGGACCCCCGAGGTGAGGATGCTGGTCCGGGCCTCGCCACGGTGGGCTCCAGGCCGGAGCCTGGTGAGGCAGGGCAAGGGCAGGGCCGGGGATAACGTGGCCGGAGATAACGCGGCCGCGCCAGCCCGTGCTGCCCGGAGGCTCCGGTGGGCGCCCGTGCTCGGCTGGCGCGGCCCCAGCGGCGATCTGGGCATGGCCCAAAGTCTCAGCGAACCCCGGAAGCCCTCGGGCCACCGCAGCCCCGCGGACAAGCCCCGGTTGGAGCCGGGAAACCCCGGTAACCGGAAAGCTGCTTCCTCCCTGCCTCCCCGCCATTTACCGGGCGGGGTGCAGGGCAGGGTCCCCGGGACATCCGTTTCCGGCAGCCCCTCGAGAGCCAGGGCGCTGCCGGCCCGCAGGACCCCACTCTGCGGCGCCCCCTCCCCGGTTACCGGGACACCGTGTGTCCTCCGTCCCCCGTCCCCGTACCTTTGCGCGGGCAGGAGCAGCGCGGCGGCCCCGCGACGCTGAGGGGAGCTGAGCGGGCGGCACCGCCCGCTTCCCGCCCGCCCCCCTCCCCGCTGCGCATGCGCCGGAACGCGGCGCGCCGCCGGGCGACAAGGCACGGCCGCGCACGGTACCCCGGGGCTGCGCTGCGCCCGGACACCGCGCCGCGGGCATCCCGCTCCCACCGACAGCGCTGCTCCGTGCCCGCGCGGCCCGGCCCGACGCCCCGGGGGCTGGGCACGGTTCCGCGGCCGCGCGGCGTGGCCGTGCCCCACCCGCTGCTCACACCGCACCTCCGGGGCGCCCACCCCACCACGGGACACCCCCGCATGACCCCGGACCCACCGCCCATCCCCTCGACCCGTCCGTCCCCTCCCCTCCTCTCCCCGCCCGCCCCGCGCTCCCGCCGCCCGCGCGCGCTCCCGACGCCCACGCGCGCCCCCCAGCCAACCAACGGACCAATGGGAGACCGGGGCGTCAGCGCGGGAGGGGCAGGGGCGGCGCGCGCGCGGCCCGCCGGGAGGCTGGGTGACGTCAGGCGGTGCGTTGGGAGCGGCGGGGCTGAGGTGAGGGGCGGGGGCGCCGGGCCCGAGCGGGGCCGGGGCTCCGCTGCCGGGACGGTCCAGGAGATCCGGGGATCAGGGGTACAGCCCGCGGCCAGGGCCGAGACGGGCTGCTTGGTTCTCCTCGGGTGGGTGTCCCGGCCCCCTGCGCTCCGGTCACCCTTCCTTCTCCGCACCTGCTCCTCCTGTTCCCGTCCTGCCTGGCGCACGCTCCCTGAGGGAAACTGCTCCGAGTCTGTGGAGACCATGGGCCTTGAGATTGCCCGGGTTTGCCCAGCTTCTCTTCCTCTTGTTGCTGAAGTTTCTGCTGACAGCTCTCCCCTCAGTCAGCTGGCGCAGCAGCCCTGGCTGGGGACTGCCCTGACCCTCTGGTTTCGGGTGGGGTTTCAGGTGGTTTTGATGGTATTCTATTTTTCCTGGGATTTTTTTTCCCCAGACCGTGGCACTCGACAGCTAGATGTGAAGGCTCAGCGGTGCTGATGGAGAGGTGCGATGGATGCCTGCGCTCCGACAGCCTGAGCGGTGCCTCGGCTCAGTTCTTTGTGCTTGCTGCATGCCCTCACTGGCCCAGGGTGGACTCCCTGTATTATGCATTTTCAGTAGGCTTATTTTTGCTGTTTTCTAGTCTGACTTCCCAGAGCTGGTCCTGACAGAGGAGGAGAAGCAGCTTCTGGAGAAAGAAGGTGTTACATTACCAACCTGTCTGCCACTGACCAAAGTGAGTCCTCACTAGAACCAAACAGACCACTCGACTGTATCAGGTAGTGTAGGGGTTTGAAACTGCAGGACACTGCCTTGATGAAAATATTGTTGTCCAGGTGCTGCATTCAGGGCAGTGTCCATCTGGGCTTGGTGTTGTTTTCCTTTCTTTGAGTCCAGGGCGTCATCCATGTGCACAGCAGTTTCTGTCATTCTCCCTAATCATGGCTGTTGGCAGGAAGCAGTTACACCACAAGTGCCTGCAGCTATTTTTTCCTGCTTGCCTAATGGCTTGTGGTCTGTGTGCTTTTCATTTTCCTTAGGTACGCCTTACTTTTGCTAAGTCATGGAAGCTGCTGGCTGCATCAGCAGGCCAGGGTTTGCCTTGCTGTTTATTCAGTGGTGTGGGAAGGACAGAGAACACAAGCACCAGGGCTGGGCACTGATATGTGAGGGCAGTCTGAGAGGGTAGGATTGCCAACACCCTGGGATTGCTGCTAATGAGGTGATCCTTGCAGGCTGAGGAGCGAGTTCTGAGGAAGGTGCGTCGTAAGATTCGGAACAAGCAGGCAGCTCAGGACAGTCGTCGCCGGAGAAAGATCTATGTGGATGGCCTGGAAAACAGGTACGGTCACACAGCAGTGTCATCCACCACTGAGGGGACCTGTGTTCTTTTAGGGATCCTTGGCAGAATGATGATGGCACTAAATTGTCATTTCAGGCATAACCTCATTTTCCTGTCATGTTATGATTAGTGTAGCAGAAGATTTGTGATTAGAGTGGCACAGTTTTTCTACAAGTAGAATCAATGTAGTACAGTCTATAACCATTGTAATACAGGGTCTATCGTACCACTTAACTTAAAATATCTAATCATCTGCATTCTAATATGTCTTAACTTAGAATTTCTAGTCACCCGGGCTCTCTGCGGGTTGCATCAGATCTTAATAGATAGTTCTGTGTATTAATATAATGATCATGACATAGATTCAAAAATTATACAAATAATACAAGTCTTACCCTCAGTCATGGGAGGAAGCAGGCAATGGTAGATGTGTCCCAGATCAGAGGGGTCCTGAGCTGTCCAGCAGAAATTCTACTCCCAAGGTGCCCTTAGGACTTTGTAATTGCTTGATTTTGTGGACAGTGCACTCTGTGCTGTTGTGCTTCCCTGCTCTGTGATAGGGCTGTCAGCAACACAGAGCTGGCTGTGTGCCTGCAACCTTCAAGATTGGTAAGGGAAGGGCCTGGTGCCCAGGGACTTTCAGGCTGGCAGGGAGAGTTAGAAGAAATCTGATTGTTTGTTTGTTTGTTTTAGTACTTGGTGCACAGGATCTTCAGTGCCTGATAACAAGGGGCAGGGAATGAATACATGACTTGGTGGGCCATGGAATGGCTGCTCCCTACCTGCATGGCCTGAGTTGTGCTGACCTCATTGCCAGGTCCAGGATCAGGGCATGCCTGTCACAAGCTGCTGTGGTGTTTGTTTGGCTGCTGGCTTCCTATCACCCTGTGCAAAAAGTGAGGCTGGCCCTGTGGGGCAAGAGCTCCCTACAGAGGGTTCAGAACATCAGGGTGAAGCCTATCTGGTGCTCTTGTGCTTGGAGATGACCCAGAGCTTGCTCTGTTCAAGCTGGATAGCTGACCTGCCAGGACAAATGTGTTTTCCAGGTCAGGCTAGTCAGTAATAAAGCCTGATGTTACAGATCTGCAGGGCTGGTGTGCTGCTGGGAGTGAGCATCCATAGGGGTTAATGAGCTGCTTTTTTGCAGGACTGGCAGGGCTTCATTCCTCCTTATATCTGGTATGAGGTAGTGCTCTCTGGGCTTTGCTGCACATGATACCAGGTGGACCCCAGGACCAGTTTTGTCTGCCCCAGCCACCCAGAGGTGGTGACTGATGTGAGGTCTCCACTGTTGACCAACAAAATCTCTCTGTTTTTCCCCACACCTCTCATCCTTTCTGGAAAGGGTGGCAGCCTGCACAGCTGAAAACCATGAACTGGAGAAGAAGGTGCAGCAGCTGCAGAAGCAGAACATGTGAGTTTGTCGTGTTGGGTTTGGCAGGAGAAGTGGTGGGGAAGGCTGTTCCTGTTCTCAGGACTGTGGCCTCTCCCTGGCTGCACAGGGTGGAGGAAAGTGTGCAGCTGTAGGTCCAGGTGCTAACCTGCATTTGCTGCTCTACTGCAGGTCACTGCTCAGGCAGTTACAGAAACTGCAGGCCTTGGTGGGACGGTCCGCCCCCAAAACTACCAGAAGAAAAACCTGCACCATGGTAGGTGACCTCAGCCCCCGTGTGTGTGGAGTCCCTGCTGTCCTCACAAGTTTGGAAGAGAGGCAGTTACTGCATTTAGTGATGCCTGTCCATCTCCTTTGCTGAGATTCTGCTGATCTTTCTGTTTCCAGATCGTGGTTCTGTCCTTCTGCCTCATTCTGTCCCCCAGCATCCGCTTGCCCGGGAGCGTAGAGCCACAGCGGGAGCTCAAGGGTGAGTGCCCAGGTTGGGGCTGAGGTGTGGCTCCAGGTGAAGTGCTGCCCTTCAGAGCACAGCATCCTCCCCAGAGCGTGAACTCCGGGGTGCTTCCAACTCATCATGTCCTTGCCTGGGGTGACCACTAGCTTTGTCTTGCTGTCTTGGCCTAGCTCTGAACTCTTTGTCAGCCTTGTTGCAGAGACCTGCCTGGAAGCAGGGCCCTGTGCCAGGGGCGGTGCAAGGACAGGAGAGTTCCGGTCCCTCTTGGAGCACAAACTGTGCTTGTGCCTGGCAGCTGTGCAGCATCCTCTCCCCACCTCCCCTGGGAAGAGGAAGTCCTGGTTAAACAGTTTGTCCTCTCTCCCGGGCTCTGTGGTGGCTCCATGCTCAGCACAGGAGGGTGGGAGGCTGGCAATGACAGGGTTGGCTCTGCTCTCTTACAGTGCTGTCACGGCAGATCCGCGAGCTTCCCAACCAAGGAGCACCTGATGTGCAGCATGACACTGAGCTGGAGGGCTTCAGCCCTGACCCTGGAGACTCCTTGCTATCGGGCAACCTCAGTCAGTCATGGGAAGAGGGGCAGAGTCCACTTAACTCCAGTCCCAGATCTTTCAACAGCAACTCATCCTCTGATCCTCCGGCAGCAGCCGGCTCCAAGCCAGGCCCGCCCCAGAGTGACCCTTTGCCAGCAGCAGTGCTGGTGCCATGGAAATCCAAGGGTCAGGAGTGGGTAGAACACTCTGACAGAGTTCTCATTCAGCAGCACCATGCCAATGAGATGTGACCAGTGCTGCATCCTGCTCCTTGGGATGATACTGGGCATCCTGTGGAGCAGGGACAGAGTTGCACTAACAGATTATCTATCCAAGCAGTTTCTTCTCAATACTCTCCTCATTGCCAGCAACTCAGAGGGTTTACCAGGGAGGAATCAATCTGACATTTTTTATCAGACTCCATCTGAGATGGGACAGGAAATTCTGAGAACTTCACTATGCCTGCTGATGTGGCTACCAGAGTGCACCTGGTGACTTGTGGGGATGGGCTGTGGCAGGGAGAGTGGAGGCAGTCCGTCTGAGGTGCCAGTACTTGCTCTGACTGGATGCAGCTGCCAGTGCAGGCCACTGCCCTGCTTCTTCACTGCCCAGCTGGAGATGAACAGGCACTTCTTAGTCTGTGTTGGGGCCCCAAACATATGTTCTATGTCAGTGCCCTTTAATCCTACAGTGCTGCCTGATTTCTAGGTGTGAGGGAGCAATTTGACCTTCATTGCTCTCACGGGAGTAGTCCTGCGTGCTGCTGCGACAGACCCAGCATGTCGCCTGTTCCTGCTAGCTTTTGAGCCATGGCCACAGCTCCCAGCCTGGCTGGAGAAGGTAATGCAGAGTCCTTCCTGAGCCATGTGTGCTGTTTGCCTACCGTAAGGGCTGAGCCTTTCATCTGCTGCAGGCTTTTGGGCTTCAGGGAGCAGGCATGCCTTGAGCCAGACTGCTGAGGCAGCATGTTCAGAGAGCAGCAGAGCTGCTTGCTCCTCTGAAGGCTTTCCTGGCCACAGGACAGTTTCAAAGCCATGTCCTTGTGTGCCCAAGCCTTGCTGTGCTGGCTGGTGATGCAGTCAATGATTGTGGGTCAAACAGAAACACTTTGAGCTGGTGAGCCGTGTCTTTGCCAGCGTGCAGCTTAGTGGTACCTGTAGAGATCTCCTCATCCTACTGCAGGACATTCCATAGAGTCATATAGAATGGTTTGGATCGGAAGGGGCCTCTAAAGGTCATCTCGTCCAGTTCTCCCTGCAATGAGCAGGGATAGCTTCAAATTGGATCAGAATAATAATGAATAGCTTCCTTATTAATAGAGTCTAAATAAATATTAATGGTGTGTGATTGTGTCCTCTCTGGTTGTTTTGGCGAGGTGCTGGGCTGCTGGGGACTGTACCTGGGGCTCAGAGTCTTGTGGGAGAATCCCAGGGGAGGCTCGGGAGCAATCCCTCTCTCCTCTCTGGTTGTTTTGGCGAGGTGCTGGGCTGCTGGGGACTGTACCTGGGGCTCAGAGTCTTGTGGGAGAATCCCTCTTGGATGATTGCAGGGGAAATCTGCCTGGCTGTGGCTCTGCACAGGGGCTTGTTGAGGCACAGCGTGGGTTTGCAGGGCTGCTGCTTTGCTCTCACCCTGCCTCAAGGCGAAAAGTATGTGGTCAGCACCCACCAGGCACTCGCAAGCCCCCAGGCTGCGGAAGCGAGCAGCTTCCCCCGGAGGAAGCGCGAGGAGCCGGTGTCGGCCCCCACCGCTGCTTTCTGCTTTCGTAACGGGAGCTGCACAATCGCAGGAAGTGGAGCAGAGCCAGGGTGCTGCAACAGCCACCGGGTGGGCCCTGCCTGCTGTGCGGTTGCTAAATTCAGGATTGTCCCTGGGTCTGGTTGGGGTCACTGGGTCCACAGGAGGCACTGGCAGACCCTGAGCTCAGGCTGCAGAGCCCCGTGTAGGATTTGGGGGTGTGGGAGCTCAGCAAGGCAGTGGGTGCAGGAAGCTTCGCACTTGCATCCCACCCAGGGGGCAAAACCAAACAAGATAATGTTGTGTCCAGAGGGGAAACAGCCAAGGAGAGGCTCACCAGACCCTCTGCCTCAGGACAGGTAGCAGCATGCTCCCAGCAGGGCTGCGTCACAGCTCTACCCTGGCCAGGACTGACAGCCCTTGAGCATCACCAGGGAACCACTGGAACTCTTCGCCAGGAGGTATGCATGGCATCAGGAAGGTCTAGGGCCCCATCTACACTTCAGTTTAATTTTCTGCAGTTTGAGGGAGGCCAGGCTGTGTAATGCCCCTCCATACTTTAGTTTCATTTTTTGCAGTTTGGAGCCAAAGTACGTAATGTCCTGTTCCCACCGTACTTTCATTTTTGCAGTTCAGGGTCGATGTGTGTAATGGCCTGTTCTCCCTTTAGTTTCATTTTTTTGCGGTTCAAGGCCAGAGTGTGTAGTGTCACAGATGTTACACAGTGTCCCTGACCCAGCACTAATCAATATCAAATGAGCCATCTGAAGTAATATACAGCGGTGTTCCCAGCAAAGTTGGGAGCAGCCATGTGAGCTGGTGTTTGCCTGGGTATGATGGGGTCACTATTACTCTTTGTAGCAGTCTGGCTTTCTTGGCCAGATGTCAGGAAGGGAGATAACTCTGGGAGAGCAGGCTGAGCCAGGAGCTGGGAGTTTTGGGGAGGGTTGCTCCATGGCCCCAGCTAATAATGACCCAGGTCTGCTATTTTTCGTTGCTTTCTGTGCTCTTGTGTCAGTCCCACAGCAAGCAGCTTTGATCTGGGGAGATAAATGAAGCTCAGTCTGGACCTCATGCCTTGGGTTAAAGGGCAGCAATGATTAAAGGGTTCATAATGAGTTTTTTGGCTGAGGACTTGATTATATCAAGCAGAGGAGCAGGAGCCAGCTGATATTCCTGCCACCTTCCTGGTCCTCTTTGCTGCAGGTCCCCTCCTTTTTCCTAGCATGCTGCAGGGTCAGAGCATGGTCTGAGTGTGCACTGGTGCTGCTTGCATGCACACACAGCCCCACATTCTGCCTTAGGTCAGTGGTATGGTCCCAGATACAGGTCAACCTGTATCTCCCCTATGTCCTAGCAAGTGCCTTTGTCATCGTTGTGGGACTACGCTGGCAGACTGGAAGTATGAGCTTTTCAGGGCAAAATATCCTGGATGGTCCTTGGCAAGTCCCAGATGGGTGTTGCCAGATGGAAACAATATTTTTTGCTTGGTGACTCCTCAAGTACTAGAGCATCTTCCCCTTTCCATGATAGTGATGTATTGAAAATTATGAAAACATAAAATGAAATTTGCTTTCTATTTCTAAGGAAGTCCTGGGCTGTGTAATCAATGCAAAATGCTTTGTGATCATGGCTTTAATGGAATCAGGTTTGCCTTTTTAAAAAAAAATGAATTAGGGTTTTTCAGAGACATGGAAAATTCAGTCAGTAGCAGAAACAAGATTGTATCCACCTTTTCAGGGGAAATCTAAATCCTGTGTCATCATCCATCCTATTTTTATCCACTAGCACCAGCTGCTGGATATTGGTGGAAACAGAAAAACTAACAGAAATCTGAAAACTGGTTTAAAAAGCAGCTGGAAATACAGTGATGGAGCCACTGCCCCCTTCCAGCTCTCACAGTGGGGCACCTCAGCTGTGGGCCTGCTGAAGCCCCAGTGGTCATGTTTGGCAAAGTTTCTAAAGCAGAAGGCAAAGAGGTCGGGCTGTGATGCCTAAAAAATTCCAGCCGGTGCCAGATGTGCCCTTCCCCTGTTCTCTTTCCTTGGCCACGTGTGGACATCTTGGCTGGAGACACACCCCAGTGCATTGCTCGGGGGATGCAGCCGTGCCGAAGGGACTCTTGCTGCAGGGTATTTGGGAGCTTTCCCCCGGCCTGGGATGGGAGGGCAGCTGGCAGCCAGCCACGGCTGCATATCTGCCAGGGCTGGGAACTGCAGGCTGGTGGCTCTGCAAGGTTTGCAACACCCCGTGAGCTCGGGCACCCGGGAGCTCCCTGTGCTCGGCTCCCTTGGGAAGGCTCTGCAGGACTGGCCGTGCCTTATCCTTCTGCCCGGCCACAGCCCGGTTTGTCCCCCACCTCTGACCCCCATGGACTCGTTACCCAGAGCCTAGCATCGGCTTTGCAGGCACAGTACACTGCCAGGGAGGGGAGCTGGGGCAGTCGCCATCCCCAGGGATTCTGCTGGCCTCTGTCTTTTTCAGTCTCAGTGCAACATGAAACCTCCCTGTGGGAGGGTGGCTGCTCGGTGAGACAAACCCCACAAGTTTGAGGCAGGGCAGAAGACAGAGCCAAGCCCTGCATCCCCACAGAAACCCTTTATTTTGCATCTGGTGAACTTGCCTAAGAAAGCATGAGCCTCTGGGTTGAGGTTGCACCTCAAGTGCAGCGTGTTGGTGCAGCCAAAATCTGCCTAGGCACTCCATGCCATCCTGAGCCTGCTGGATTTTCCCACTTGCTGTTATTTTATCCGTGTGAAGGTGCTGGTTCCAATCCTGCAGAAAACACCAAATCAGATGGGGTCATGCATGCTTTGGAGGGTAGAGGGGAAACCCAGGGGAAGCATTGTGTGGCTGATTGAGGTACTACCGGTTCCAAAAGCCTGTAGCAGAGGCTGTGCCAGGTGCTGTCATCTTTTCCTCCTCTCCCTGTTGTAGAGAGTGGAAAGAAGGCTCCGGAGAGGGCTCTCTGTGGCCAGAGCCCATACAGGGATCCCCCATCCTGAGGCACATCTGGCATGCAGGCGTGAACCATGCTACATGGATGCTCCATAGCCCTTGCATATCACTAGTGAAAAACCCATTCCACCCTCACAGTCCTCCCTTGCTTCACCCTGTGGGATTTCTCCCTTCTCCAGCCCAAGTTGCAGAAGGTTCTGGCAGAGCAGTGGCTGGGACCCAGCACTCACCGGGTGGCTTTCCAGTCCTCTGCAGGACTGTCGGCTGCCTCTCGCAGGAGCCACAGGGCATGCAGGGTCTCCTTCCCCTTGGTGTCCACATAGCACTGGCCCAGGAAGACACTTGTCCGGGCAGTCTCTGAGTCTGGAAGGGTTTAAGGTGATGTGAGTCAGGTAGTGAGGCACAAGGTCACCCTGTGTCCTGCTGGCATCCCCGCCTGCAGGACGATGGCCCCCTGCTGCCTACTTTGGAGTCTCCAGCTCACAGTGAAGAAGAAAATGGGCTGTGAGACCAGCCCTGTATCTTGCTGGGACCCCTCCAGTGGTGAGGTGAGGAGTTCTGAGTAGCCAGCAGCAGGTCCTGGCAGGTAAAATCCGGAGAATCTGTTGTCCTCGTCCAGGGCGGACACAACCATCCGGCAGCTGGTGTCACTCCGCCACGACCCGGAGAGAAGGCACTGCAAGGCCAGTGCTGTGGGTTGGAGGCAGGGAGAGGGGGGAGCGTCCTTCACCCCTTCACCCTGGCTCTCCCCAGAGATGTCTGCAGCAGTGGGTGGTGTGCCACGACCTGATGTGCCGCTGGCATCACCATCTCAGTGTGAGCACCGTGCCTGAGCTATGATTGCGTTCAGCTCAGCCGCTCTCCAGGATGGTTTCACCCACCCAAGGGAAAGTGAGTCCTCCCATGCTGAAGCAGCAAGTGTGCTGCTTTCCCTACACTCTGGGGAGGGGGAAACAGGAGCTGTCTGGGATATGGCTCTGTTTGCCTTCCTCTGAATGACTTCCTGCAGCAAGAATCGTCCTTGCAGGAGCAGCCCCTTCCTCCCAGCCTCATTGCAGCTTCCCTCAGCACTGCACAGTGCTGCTCCCACCAGCTCCAGCAGCCCAGAGCTGGCTCCCTGCTGAGCTATGATGCCCCAGCAGCAGACGTTGGGGTCTAGCAAGATGTCAGCCCCACATCCCCACTGTCATCTGTCCCCATACCTTCCTCTCCACAGGGGCAACACACACTGCCAGGGCAAGGGCGAGCACCAGGGCAAAAGCACTTCTCCCCATGGCTGCAAGGCTGCTAAGAGCTCCTCCCGTCCCTGGAGCCCAGCACCCTTTATAGGGCTGTAACTGGAGCCCCACCAGCACCAGGATGGCAGCTGTGAGATGAATGTCTTGATGTCAGGGTGCCCGGGACAGGCGAGGGAGGTGAGCAGGTCTGCATGACCTGGTCAGGGCTGGAGGAACGCAGGAATAAGCACGGCTGGGCAGAGGGGTGGGGACACGTAAGACCCTATAGTAGCCTGGAAAGCATCAATACCTTCTTTGGGAATCTGCCTCCCATGCACAAAGGCTGGAAACTAACCCTATTTCAACATTTACCCCCTCCCTGCTTTGCTGCTGCCACTGCCTGACGGGGATGCTGCACTGCTGCACAGAAGGGAAAGTTTACTCATTTTAGAAGCAGTAACATTTCTCCAGCCTCTTCTGGATATCAGCTGCTGATTTTGATGCTGTTGCTTTTACTTTTGTGAGAGTTAGAGGAAGAAGTAACCACAGCAGTGCTACTGAGGTCCCAGGGAGTGTTTTTGCTAAACACACAGAGTGTGATAAGCAGCACTGTATTCACACTTCTTCCTCGTATTTGCTGCTCTAAAGGACCTTTGATGTGAAAAATGCAGCGTTCACTGTCCCTGTCTTCCTGAGCCATGCCTTTGCTGTGATGCCTGGAGCAGGCATATGGCTGTGGCAGCTGAAAATTCAGGTGGGACTCAGCTGAATCAATACCTGCTGTGCTCAAGACAGCAGTGTTTGGGGCAGGGCATGGCAACAGGGCTGGGGTGTGCAAACTGGGGATGGGGCAGTGCCCCTTTGGGGTGGCACCTCTCAATGCCCACTGCTAGCCCTGGCACATCCTGGCACCCTGGGCTCCGCACATCTCTCTCATCTAGGTAACCTCAAAAGCTGGGCTGAGTGGAAAACACCCCTCTCCTAACACGTCCCTCCTCCTTTTTGTCTTTTTCAGTCCCAAACTCATGGCCTATCACAGGTACTCAGAGAAATTTCCCCTGGGGATTATTTTGCTATTGTCCTGGATGCCACACTCTGTTCTTTTGGCCTGACACCAGCTCCTGCCTTTCTGTGATGTTTGGCAGGGACAAGCCACCTTGTTAGAGATCCCAGGGTGGAGCCAGGTTTCCCCCCACTTCATGGCACCATGCTGCAGCTTTGCTAGAGCTGGGCCAGGCTTAATGGACTGTGCAGCCATGGTGCTGTCATCCCTGGGGCTGGGGTGTTTTCGTAACACGTCTGCAAGAGGTCTTCTCTTCACCCACTGACCTGCCAAAAGCGTTGTGTCAGAAGAGCTGACTAAGTCTGGCAGGTGTCCACAGAGGCAAATAGAGAGGCACTGCCAAAATGCAATGGTAGAGAAGGGAAAATCCCTGAGTGTAATTCAGGGGGATGGGATGGAGTCTTAACTTGTGCTCATTTTACTTGAGGTGCCATACAGCACAAAGTTAATCAGCATCTCAAATCTGCTGGTAATGCTGCCTCCATTGCCCACCGCAACAGATCTTGGATTCCCAGTACTGGAAAGGGTCTGGTGTGAGTGGATATGAAGGCACTGCAAGGAAGTGAGCTGAATTCAGGATGCTGCTGCTGGCCCTGCCACCAACAGGCAGGTGGGGAATGATGACACAGGGTGGAAGTTTGGGTTCAGATGAGATGGGGAATGAGCCCAGGGAGGCAGATGGGTGGGATCAGGTGTACAAGGGCAGTGGTGAGACCTCACCTCAGCAGGGGTATTTTTGGGGACAGAAGGTGTAGCAAGGACAGACTCTAAGAAAAGCAACAGTTGATGATTTTAAAATTTTATTCTCAGCTGGGAGGTAGGTTTTTCTTGCCTTGTTGGGGGCTTAGGCTGCAGCCAGACCATCCCATCATGGGCCTGGTGAAGACACAGCCTCACAGGGAGGGGACAAGTTCGGCAGGATCTTTCCTTTTGTGGTGCGTTTGCGTGTGAAGACATTCCTGCCCACCCTGTGAGAAGTTGAGAGTTCCTGTAGGATGACCCACAGACACTGCCTGCTCAGAGCTGCCAGTGCTTGCAGCAGTGACGGGGTGTCCCTGAATTCCCCCGAAGTTTCCTCAAGGGAGGACCCCTCTGTGGGATTGGTGTCACCCATATTCCCCCTCTACCTTGTGGCTTTCCAGTCCTCCTCAAGTGACCCGACAGCTTCACGCAGCAGCCACATGGTGCTCAGTATCTCCTTTCCACCTGCATCCACAAAGCATTGCCCCACGAAGGTGGTGGTGGCATCTGGGAGGAATTACTTATTGGAAGATCCGTGGGGAAACTGGCTTCTTCCCCTTCCCCACTGTCCTCCCAGATGCAGCTGTGCTCCTGCTCCAATGGCCACACATCCACCAACCCCATGCTGGGGGGGCCCTGCCCTTCCCTGTGGCTCCCTCAGGGCGGCAGGATTTGTAGCACCACATCCCAGCTGTGCTAACAGGCTCTGGACCCACCGTGGCTGCCCCAAGGGTGCTGGGGGAGGAGGGGCTCCCCTGTTCAAGCCCAGCATTGCCCCTTTGGCACCACGCTGTGCGGGTGTTGCTGCTTAGCTGCACCAAAGCATCACCCAGCTGAATTCCTGGCGAGAGAAAATTCCTGCTGGCCGCGTGTGTGGCTTCCACTGACACTGCCGTGCCATCCCCAGGTGTCCCAGCACTTACTGGAGAACTTGTCCCAGCGCACAGTGAAGGCAAAGGTGGGCCAGCCCTCCTCTCCAAGCTGCTGCTGGGCTCCCATCAGGGGAGAGATTTGGGCACAGCCCCCGGAGAGGGTGGCTCGTGTGAGGTATTGCCCCTGGAAGTCCCCGTTGTCCCTCAACACCGAAATCTCCATCAGTGAGTCCTGGTCATTCCTCCACAGTCCGCTGAGCTGGCACTGAAGGAATACAGCCACATACTCTCTGTGCCCCTGCGTGCAGAGGGACCCCATCCCTGCTGCTGCCCCACACCAGGGGAGCCACAGGCCCTGCTGAGAGTGCAGCTGCAGGGCACTGCCTGTCCCTGATCCCGCTTTGGGGAAATGCCGAGAGGATGGTGGAGCAAGGCCAGGATGTCCCAGGATGTCCCCTGTCCCCTCAAATTGCACACCCAGACACAGCCCCAGACATGTCGGATGCACGGTGCTCCCAGGCACAACCCCCAAGGGAAGGGATGCCCTGTGCATGCTTCCCTCATGGGAACAAATCTTTCTGGAGCTGGTACAAGGTGGCTGAGGGTGATCCAGGGATACCTTGCCACCTGCCTGGGCTTGGTTCTTGCATGGCTATCCTGCTTGTCTAAGCCTAAAATGGCACTGAAGGGAGAACTCCTGGCTGCCCGCACTGCATCCCATCGCCATGTCTGCCACGCTCCCGCTGTCACCCATCCCCGTACCTTCCTCTCTGCAGGAGCAAGACCCTGTGCCAGGGCCACGGCGAGGGCGAGGAGCAGGATGGAAGCGCCGCCCCCCATGGCTGTAGGGCTGCGAAACACCGGCCCGGCTGCCTCCCTGCTGCATCCCGAGCCCCTTTATAGCGCTGTAACCGGAGCCACGGCCGGAGTGTCCCGATGTCAGCGCGCCCCGGCCGGGGGAGGCGGCGAGGTCTGCCTGACCTGGCAGCGCCCGAGGAACGCGGGGTGGGCACGGGCTGGTTTACACACCCGCTGCCCGAGAGGCTCAGTGCCGGAGCCCCGGGGGCAGGCACGGCCTGACACTGTCCCGCTGCCACCGAAACACAGGCTGGAGCAAGGGCAGCCCGGCCAGCCCCGCTGCACCGACTGGTGTCGCGTCTGCCCGCGGGGGCTCGTCCCTGTCACCGTCCCCTCCTGCACTGCGAGTGTCTGCTGCTCTTTCCAACCTGCTTTTTGTCCTGGCTGTGCTGGGCTTCCCTCGGGTTTGGGACCTAAGGCTGTCACTGCAGCAGGAGTTCTTGGATCAGCCGTTCTTGCAAGCGCAGACGGGCTTTCCTGGAAGGAGTGTAGATGTTAAAATTCGCTTATTCCTGTGGGAGGGTGTGTTCTGTGCACAGTGCTGCCCTGTGCCAATGCCATATGCAGGATGCTCTGATGCTGGGCAGGGCCCTGTCCCTGTCTGACCCTTCCCAAGGAGTTCCTGATGGTGCCAGACTGTAATGGGGGTGCTCAGACTGCCTGGCATCTGCACAGGGACACGGCACAGACACATCCCCTAAGACACCACCCTAACCAGGTGAAAATGTCACTCCCAACAACGCAGGGGAAGAGAGAAGTGGCATCTGGCTGTGTCCAGATCACAAGGTGCCTCTCTGGCCCCTGCCCAAGCACAAGGGGTGAGATCTGCTTTGACAATCCTTCTCATCTTTCCTGGGCCTGAAGATGAAGAAACCCACTCTCCTCTTCCTCAGGGAGCAGGATCCTATGTTCAAATTGCACTTCAATAAAAAAAATTATAGGGCTGTGTTCAATTCCCATCCTAGGGACTTGCTGCAAAAGCCCTTGGGATCTTGACACCACTCTCCCTTGCTTGCTGCCCAGCTGGCTCCCAGCACTCAGGACTTGGCACTCCCCTGTGGGCTCCATGCAACAACCCCAGGGCAGCCCCAGCACAGGGAAAGGATGGACAAGTGCCCTGCAGCCCACCCAGTAGCTTTGCTGTCATCCCCGAGCATGTCAGCCTCATCTTGCGTGATCCACGTGGTCCTGCAGTATTTCCTTTCCCTCCTCATCTGTGAAGCTTTGGCCCGTGGAGGCGGTGATGGAGCCTGCAGACTGGGATGGGATGGGATGGGATGGGATGGGATGGGATGGGATGGGATGGGATGGGATGGGATGGGGCTGTTCCTCTTAGGCACCCAGTGGTAAAGGCTGCTTGTGGGTGGGTGATGTTTCCCTCCCCAGCCTCCTGTCCTGCTGGGACCTTGAACAGGCATGGGAAATGCAGGGCATGGTGGCATGAGCCCAGCTCAGCTGGACATCACAGCAAGGGCAGGGATACTCCAGGGTCATCTCAGTGGACACTAGAGGAGCTCTGAGAATCCAGGAGGGAGGCTGGGAAAGGAGAAGCACCTGAAAATCTCTAGCTGACAGCTGAAGGCGGGCTGGCTCTTGTGGTTCATCGGGTGTGTCACTGCAGCAGTGACACCCAGACCTCGTTCATGGTGTGTGCAGCAGCCAGTGAAGTTGCCTTTTCTGCTCACAGACACGATGCTTACACTGGAGGTCAGTGACCCAGTGCCTGGTCAGGGTGCAGTGGAGGGGACTCAGCCCTGTTGCCACAGCACAGCCTGGGTGGGGCAGAGTGGCAGGAGTGAGTAACTCTCTGAGCCATGTAGGGCAAACTGGACAAGCTGCAGGTTCCTCATCCACACAAAGGGTCATACTGACCAGTTTCATGAGCTCATCTGTAGGGTGGGGTGAAAAACACATCTGGGAGGGTGCCCTGGTTCCAAACCAGACCCAGGATGGGCTGAGAACATAACTAAGGAGCTCCTCCAGTCTCTAAGGATGGCAGTCTGTGGTTGGCAAGGCTACAGCTGGAGCAGGGCCATGGAGAGAGGCAGAAAAACAGGGAACAATGTGTGGCCCTGACCAGAGGACTATGTAGAAACAGTGGAGGGGATAGGAGCTATGTGTCTCCACTCATCAGTGAAGTTGTAGCTTGAAAATTGAATTTACTCTTTTGTCATTGCTGCAGAGTGGAGGGGTACCAGGTTTTGGTACACTAAAACCCACCAGCCATGCATTCCCTTCAGCGCCCTGGGAATTCCCTGACTCCATCTGCCTAGATGGGTCAACAGCTGCTCTGAGAGATGTTGGGCGCCAAGATGTTGGGCATTGAGACATTTGCAGACGGTTGACAGGAGCAGTTCCCGCAGAAAACGGTTGCGTAGGAACAGTTTTCCACATGTGGTTAGGACATGTAAGTGCTGAGAGGATGGTGGAGCAAGGCCAGGGTGTCCCAGCCCTGCAGCATGCAGGGCACCCCCAGACACAGCCCCAGACATGTCGGATGCTCCCAGGCACAACCCCCAAGGGAAGGATGCCCTGTGCATGCTTCCCTCATGGGAACAAATCTTTCTGGAGCTGGTACAAGGTGGCTGAGGGTGATCCAGGGATACCTTGCCCTGGCTGAAGCTGCAGTTGAAGCTCCTTCTCCATTCTAACAGTGACTTCAGTGCTTGAAGGGATTTGATCCTTATGCAAGCATCACCCCATGCCAGGATCCTAATAAGTTCATTTTTGGGTGGTTTTTTTTTTTTTTTTACTGATGCACTATGTGTGTGAACAGCTGTGCCACACAGCCATGTCCCTGTGATTTCAGGTGCCTCCTGCCTCCACCAGCTCCCGCTGCCCCTGGAGGCATTCACAATGTGTGAATGACCCCGGTCAAGCCCTGTCATGCAGCAGAAACAGCGGGTTTTCCTGCAGTGGGGCTGGAGGGGAAGCCCTGCTCACGTTTGCCTCGCTGGTGAGGCCATGCTAGGGGGAAACAAACGGTGCTGGGTCGGCAGAGCAGCACCATGAGCAGGTCTGCAGCTGAATACAGCTCAGAGCTGAGGGGTGCTGAACGCCCACGGAGAAACATCCCCATCCTTAACCACTCCCTGCAGTCACCCCCAGGTCCCATCAGCTGTCCCCCCAAACCCGAGGTGTGCCAGGGAAGCACTGCAGCCGGGCTGGGTGCCCTCATGCAGGGCCTGGCCTGGGAAATGGCTCTGCCAGCTGTGCCTGCCGTGCTCCTCACCAGCGCTGCGGCTGCCTGCTGGGGTTTGCAGGGTGCTGCAGCTGTGGTCAGCCCTGCTGCCTTGCTGAAGCACTCTGGGAATGCTGCACAGCCTCGGGAGAGCCTGCCCTGGGGAAATGCTGGTGTGAAGGCAGTAATGAGGTCAGGAGGATGTGAGGCTGGAGGCTTAGGGGGCACCTCAGTGCTGAGCTGGTCACGCTTCAGGTGGGAGCAGGCTCCCTCTGCCTCTCCCTTTCCCACTTCTCAGACTCCTCTAAAAGCACGTAAAAGGCTGTGCAGATACATAAATGCATAGCAGAGGGCTGGTGTAAAGGCATTCTGGTCAGAAATGCTGCAAGGGAGCTGAAAAAGCTGGAGAAATGCCAGCGAGGCACGGAGAAGGGAACAGCAGCACTGCTCTGGAAGAGGAAGATGAGTCCCAGGGAGAAAGAAGCAAACCACAGGGGAGTTTGCAACAAGGCAGGCGAAAACACAGAGCAGGCAAACTTGCTAAAGCCACAGGTGCTGTCAGCAAAGCTCTCCCACCCACAGCCTTTGTGGCAGAAAAGCCAGGGGAGCAGAGGGGGGGTGGCAGCCCCAGCAGTTCAGTCTTGCTTTTAAAAAAGTTCATCAAATCCAGGCAGTATGCCAGCTCAGGGCATGCAGCACTGTCCCGGGTTATTTTGGGAATCAAAGACACAAGGACTAAGTTTCACATTCAGACCCAGAGCTGATTTCCTGGAAATCATTTTCTTTGGCTTAGAGGAGTGCCTAAGGCAGCAGAGGCACTTCCTGTTTTGGTCAGTCACACAGTCCATTGGGCAGAGATTTCAGAGGCTGTCTTTACTGGTCATTAGCTTTTCAGTACATCACATTTCCCAGAAAGGGTTTTGGGCTGGAGGTACTGCAGCTGCTGGCCCTGTGTGGCTGGTACAGAGCAGCCCTTGGCACTTTTCAGCAGTGTGGACACAGCCAAGGCCCCTCACCTGCCTGCTTGAGGGCTGTGTCAGAGCCAGGGGCCTCCCAGACAGGTTTTTGGGATGCAGAAGAGCTCCCCAGCTTACCTCCCATCACACTCACCAGGCTTTCAGCAGGAAAGAGTGAGTACTGGTCACAGTTAGTGTCAGAGGGTTACTTTGGGGATGCACCGTCCTGTTTGGGCTGGAAAAGGGGCTTTCTTGGAGCCAGTCTCTTCCCAGAATAAGGGAATGAGAGTTTCATCCCACACCCACCCTCCACCATGATTTAGCCCAGCTTTTCCAGGACATACCCACAGACTGCACAAGGCTGTGTTTGAATGTTTTTAATTTTATTTGGCGTTTTTTGAAGCATGCTGGTACAATGATGGTGCTGAGGGGACTCCCGTGTCCCGAGCGTGGCCAGGACAAGGCGCAGTGCAGTGTGGCAGAGGAGGCAGTGCTTCTCCCTCTGTCAGCCCACTCGGGTGAAGGTGTTGTGGCCCGTCCTGCGGGGAAGCAGCAGCCCATGGGTGCCCAGCCAGCAGCAGGGTAGGGATCCCAGATGGACTGGGGAACTCTGGCTCACCTGGTGGCTTTCCAGTCATCCGGCTCCGAGTGGACTTTCTCCCGCAGCAGCCAGGAGGTGTGCAGGACCTCCTTCCCTTCATCCCCCTTGAAGCACTGGCCCACGAAGACAGCTGTGGAGTCTAAAGCAGTGGTGGCTGTCAGCATCCCAACAGGACCCCAGCTGATTCTGAAGCTTCACGGGCATCAGTGAGTCTAGTGCTCATGGAGCCTGAGTGGATCCCGATATTTGCAGGAAAATGATGTGTGGCAGAGGTGTCAAAGCAACCCTTGGTGCTGCCACACCCAGACCTTGTTTTGGGAGGTGTACTGCTGTGTGCAGACACCATCCAGAGTGGGGAGAGATCAGGGAAGGAGGGACAGAGGACAGCAGAGAGAACAGAGGAATTGGGATGAGCACTGGGACCTGCCTGAGCTCCCTCTCCATCCCACCACTCCATCCAACAACAGCCATCATGCAGCTACAGACCTGAGAACTTCTTCCAGTTGACAGTGAAGCCAAAGGTGCACTGTCCATCCTCATCCAGGTGCTGGGAGCCAGTCAGTGGGGACGCCTGGATGGGTTTCTTGGCGTTTGACACAGCAGTGTGGTACTCCCCAGAGAAGGTTCCGTCGTTGCCAGCCTTGAACACTTGCATCTTGGAGCCCAGATCATTCTCCCACCAGCCAGTCAGGTTGCACGGCTGGGGATAAGCAGATGTGTCCCTGGGGGCTGCCTGTACACAGCCCTTACAGGCTGAGCCCCCTGCCCACAGCCCCCAATGCCCACGGGGTGCTGGCACTCACCTTGGTGTGCCTTCTGCTTTTCCCCAGGTAGCTGAAGATTGCCTTTTCCTCTTTCTCACCGGCCTTTTCCTCCCCAGGGTGCTCAATTCCCTGGCAGAGGATCTTGGAAAAGAACACAAACAGGTCAGGCTGTGGATGGTGGCACAGCAGAGTGTGTCTGGAGTCCTGAGAGTGCTTGAGCATTCATTTTTAAATTACTTCATTCATAAAGTTGCTGCTATCTCAGCTACATCAAGAGGGCCAAAAGCTGGGGTAAGCCAAGCAAAAGGGGAGAGGTGAAGAGGAAAAGTGAAAGGTGGGAGCCCTGGAAGGCAGGAACATGGATGGGACCCCTGCTGTAGCCCTGTCAGGTGAGTTGTGTGAGTCCAGGGCACATCTGCCCGTGTTCATGGGTACCTGTGCTGTGCTCAGCACACGTGTAGCACGACAGGGAAGCTCACTGGGATGGGCACAGCCCTCAGGTCCACAGTGGGCTGCCCCTCAGCCAGAGCCCTGCACATCCCACCTGCAGTTCTAAGCGCTGCCTGTTCGTTCCTGTCTCGTCCGAGACCTGGGCAAGTCACCCCCTGGGGCAGGATCCCCATGCTTCCCTGGCCCAATTCCCCTCCAGGTCCCTGGGAGGGAAGTGGGGGATTTCCATATGCAGGACCCCTGCAAGAGAGAAGGAATCTCCGTGCACACGGACTGCCCTGGAGCATCACTTCCCTCATCTCCCCCGGCAGGGTTTCCGGTCTGGATACCCGCTGGAGCAGGGGATCCTCGTGTTGCCGAGTATTCCCCACGCAGAGGGGTCTCCCACGCGTGTCCCACCCCTAACAAGCGCTGCAGCTCCCATACCATGTTCCACCCACCCCTCGGGGTATCTCCCACCCGCGTCCCTCCCCGGACACCGGGATGGATCCCCAGGCGTGCTCCCCCCCGGACTTCCCCGGAGCCGGGTTTCCCACGCGTGCCCCCCCAGCAGGATCTCCCACCTGGAAGCCTGCCGCAGCCGCGGCCACGGACACCCCTGCAGGCAGGGCGAGAAGGGAGAGGACGCGGCGGCTCATCGGGATGCAGCGCGGGATGCAGCGCGGGATGCAGCTCGGGATGCAGCGCGGGATGCAGCGCGGGATGCGGCGGCGGCAAGGACCACGCCGTGCCAGTGACTCACAGGCTTTTATATTCGGCTCCGCCGCTGCTTTCCGGGAAAGCCCCGGCTGGCACCTGAGGGAGGAACTGATACTGGGACAAGGGGAAGGAGAAAGGGACGGGAAGAGGTGTGGGGACAGGGTCAAGAGCGGGGATGGGCACAGGGATGAAGACAGGAAGAGGTTGTGGTGGGATGGGATGGGGAACAGGGGCAGGGATGGGGGCAGGGATGGGGGATTGGAGGCATGGATGGAAATAGGCATGTGGACTGGAACAAGGATGGGGATAGGGAAAACAGGCACGCAGGAGGGGTTGCGTGGGGCTGCCCACTGACATCACCCAGCCTGGGGGTCTTTAGCCCCATGTCTACTCTTGAGGGCTGGGTCCAAGTTTCCATCCTGCCCTGCTGGAGCTCCTGTGTCCCAAAGCACGCTCTGGTCACTGCAGGGGATGGACAGAAGGACAGAGAGTCATGAGGGCTGGGCAAGGTATGTGCAGGTGATCTGCAGTGGGTCCAGGGAACTGGGAGATGCATGAAGCAAACCAGCTCAAATAGCAGCAGGAAAACCTCTGAGTAGGGCATTGCAGGCTGGAGGTGAGCAGCCCAGGTTGCATGTACCAGGCAAGAGGAAAAGGCAAATGAAATGTCAATAACAGGGCAGGATCACACCAAGGTCAGGGACAGGATGTGGGATTGTTAGGACAGCTGATAAGCACAGATTGTGATGCAGAGGGGGTGGTGCCCCCACTGCTGATTTCTCATAAACTCTACAGTTTTACTTTCAGTTTTCTTATTAAGCAAGCACAATGCTTGAATCATTCTCTGTCCCACTGGCTGCCTTCTTAGGAGGAACTAGGAGTCAGGGAATTTGCAGCTGACAGAAATGAAATTAAATCTTATGTCCTGGGCCAGTATGGTTCTCAGTGGCCTCGTGCCCTGCTGTTCAGGGCTTCCAGCCTCGTCCCCCTGCACTGGCTTTAGCTTCACAGGCCACTGAGAGACATCTTAGGGTGCTTATGGTGCTGGTGACAGCCACAGTGGGCGTTTGGGGAGGGGGAGCAGGAGAACGAGCCCAGCCCAACCAGGGCAGTGCCAAGGATCAGTGGGGATGAGCTGAGGGCTCTGTGCAGAATGCAGGCATGAGGATGAGGGTGAAAGAGTGAGGATGAGGATGCAGGGTGACTTCGGACCAAAAGCTGGACCACCAGGCACATCAACCAGCTGTGCTCAGTCAGTACAAGCTTACCCTGGAGGTCTGTGTGCTCTGTGTGCAGCCCCAGAACCCAGCAGGGAATGAGGGAAAAGAGCAAAGACTGAGGAAGGCTGGGGAAGGAGAGGCACACCGTGGGAGGAAGAGGATGGCAGACAGGCACTGACACTTTCTTGGGGCACTGTGTTCTTTCTGCCCCATCCAGCAATCTCTTGCCCCAGCAGCCCTGCAGCTGCCGGGCAGCGTTGTCCTCCACACCCTTTGCAGCTCTCCCTGCCCACACAGCTTCTCCCTGTGGTGCTCAGGAGGAGTTAGGAGCTGTGCATCGTGGATTATGTAACTAATGAGTTAGAAACTTCATGAGCTGCTGAAATGATGGATTAGTGAATTGTAGTGCCAGACCGGTGCAAAGGCCATCGGGCCCTTGTTTGATTTGTTTCCTTTCCTAGGGAGCTGACAAAGTTTAATGTTCAGATAACATCCTGTGAACGTGAACACCAGAAAGGATCCGTATCCTGTTCCACCTGCCAGCTGATAGGGTGACAGCCAGTCAGTGTACAGAGTGTACAGAAGTACATTGTGCCCGCATACCTGCAACAGGAACGCCTGCAGTACCTGGCTTTAGCCACCCGCTCTGCCCAGTAGCTCCCCCTGGATCCCAGGCCTCTCTCCTGATCCCCCCAGCATCCAGCCTGGATTTTGGACCACCCCAACACCCCGGATTTCCCTCTGTGAGGGCTGGCACCCAGCTCTCCCCATGTGTGCATGCAGCACCGAGACTCCCAGCCAGAGCAGTAGCTGGAAATAAAGTTTGATGGGAGGATGGGGCAGAGAGGGGTGTAGAGACACAGGATGAGGCCAGGAGACAGTGCTGGCTTTGCCTGCATGTGGCTTTCACCCCCACGCTCAGCTGTGGGGTGTCCTGTGCCCCACACTGGGGGTGCTGCCTGGAGCCTCCCAGCACTGTGCAGGTCCCTAGTGGGCACACAGGCAAGAAGGCACCTGCTGAAGCCATGATCAAGCAGAATTACTGTCCCCCAACCTCATCTTTCCCATCCCCTCCAAAACACTCCCCTGTTGTCCCCCTGCCAGCACCTAGCTCTCCCCATGGCCACAGATGGGGAGACATCCACACACGGCTGCTTTTGTACCAGGCACACAAGGGACGCAGCTCTCTGCCGTGTGGGGAAAGGTTTATTTGGCTCCATGTGCAGGGCAGCAACTGTGGGAATGGGGAGCCCCACCAACAGGTTGCTGGGAGGCACTGGGAAGAAGCAGAGAAAAGTGAGGGTGTGTTTCCTTGCCAGGAGCCCAGCTTGGGACTGGGACAGTGGGGAGACTTGGAGATGCAGAAGAACAGCAGGGTGCAGACAGCACTGGTCCCTGTTCCCATCACTTGATGGGGGTGAAGATGGAAGAGCTGACCCTGTGGGGTGAGATGGCAGGGACAGAGCTCACCTTGTGGCTTTCCAGGTGTCCTTGTGTGACAGGACCTCTTCCCACAGGAGCCACGTGGTCTCCTCCCATGAAGCCCACAAAGGCATTGGAGGAGTCTGGCAAGGTCTGAGAGAGGCAGAGCAGGGTGAGAACCTGCACCTCAAGACAGGGAGGCCTGGGCCACCTGGTCCTGGCAGACAGACAGACAAACATGCCCTGGACAGAGAGATGGACCTCCCTGCCACACCGCCCAGGTGGACTGTTCCACATCACTAGACACAGAGCTGGCCATCAGCTGTGTGCCCCTTGGACAGACAGATGGACACCCCTCTGTCCAGACAACCCTGAAACCCACAGCAGACAAGCTCTGCCACCACCACTTCCCATGGCAGGAGTGTGTGCATGTGGCCAGTCCATGCCCACAGCCAGGTCTGGGAACCACAGGGGATTTGGGGCATGACAGGGGGGTCCCCACTCCCAGCATGGGCAGAGGATCACTGTCACTGCTGTAGCTGAGAGCTGCCACTGCACAGTGGAGCTGAAGGTGGGGTGTCTCTTGGCACTGGGATGCTGCTGGACCCCTGGCAAGGGTGACACCAGGACCTGCTCGTTGGTGGCTGCCACTGCAGTTTGGTAGGAGTCTGAGAGGGTCCCAGCTGTGTTAGTGGCCTACATGACATATTGGAGCCCAGCTCACTTCTCCACAGGCCCTGCAGGTCACACTGGGAACAGGAGTCATTCCCACACTGGGTGTCTTGGGTAGTGCTGAGCCACAGTTCCTCCACCCGCAGTGGCATGTGTGTCCCATGGCATGGCCCCTCTCTGTGGCAACTGAGACCAGCACGAGGGCACCAGCTGGGACAGCACCTCTCCTTCCCTGAGCAGGGCAGCAGAGCAGGAGGTGCTGGACTGGACCCCTGGCAAGGGTGACACCAGGACCTGCTCGTTGGTGGCTCCACATGCACTCAGTAGGAGCCTGAGAGGGTCCCAGCTGTGTTAGTGGCCTACATGACATATTGGAGCCCAGCTCACTTCTCCACAGGCCCTGCAGGTCACACTGGGAACAGGAGTCATTCCCACACTGGGTGTCTTGGGTAGTGCTGAGCCACAGTTCCTCCACCCGCAGTGGCATGTGTGTCCCATGGCATGGCCCCTCTCTGTGGCAACTGAGACCAGCACAAGGGCACCAGCTGGGACAGCACCTCTCCCTCCCTGAGCAGGGCAGGGCAGAGCTGTGAGTAGAGCGTGCCCCCCTAGAGCAGGGCAGGTGACCCACAGGAGCCCCAGGGAAGCAGAGCCAGAGCTGGCAGCCTCCGTGGTCATGGCCACTGCACTGTGGCATGGCCCAGCATGGTGCAGGCCAGTGCAGCCAGAGCCTGCAGCCCCTCGGGCAAATCCTCTGTGTGCTGGGGTGGCAGAGCATGGCACAGAGAGAACACCCAGCCCAGGGACGATGGCACGGCCCGGGCGTGCAGCCCCTCACCCTCCCTGCACCCGGGACAGCACGGCTCGGCACGGCCAGGCTGCCCAGGGCTGCTCTCACCTCCCTGCATGCAGCAGCACGGGCCACGAGCAGGGCCAGGGCGAGCAGCAGCAGCAGCCCGGGGTGTCCATGGTGGTGGTGGCTGTGTGTGATCCCTTTCATAGCAGAGGGGGCTGTGGCCAGGCAGCGGCTGCCGACACCCGGCCTCCTGCCCAAGGATGCCCGGTGGGAGATGGGCAGGCAGGCACTGCTCCAGGCTGAACGGGCTCCTGCTGCCCTGGGCCAGGGCACGAGGGTCCCAAGGACCGTGGTGGGGTGGGGGGGCTCCAAAGGAGACTCTGTGCCATGCAGGATCACAGCAGTGCCTCGGATATGGTGACAGAAGGGACCGTAAGACACCATGTGGGTATTGGGAATGTGTGTGCTGAGCCACGACAGAGCTGTCCAGAAAAATTGGATTTGTTACCTGGTGCATAACAAGGCAGTAATTACACACCCAAGAGAGACACTGATTTTTTGTTTTTGTTCCACAAGCCCAAGTCCTCAGTGTTATTCCAAAGATCAATCACACCGACTATCAAAACATTTTGCTCTTTACATATCTAGCAAACAAAGGCATTAATGTTCATTGGCTACGAGTTATTTAGTTCTTTTATTATTTACTGTTCTCTCTCCTATTGGTTAAGAATTCTCTTGCATCTGATGCTAATTACTTTTTGGGCTCAGCCTTTCTCTTCTCTTGAGTTGGTGGGTTTCTTGACTCAGTGGGCCATAAGTCATGATCTACCCCAGCCAGAATTTACTTTCTAACCAGTCAGAGCTGCTTCAGCACTGCATTTTTCCTGACCCAGTTGTCTTTATTAGTTTTTTCTTATCTTGGGGGTTTTGCCAAGTGTCCTGTAAATTCTGCAATCTTTGTGTGCACTACCAGTGGTGTATTGTTCATCCCAAGTTTTGTCACCTGCACCCAGCTCTGAGATCATTAAAGCCTGTTGCCAGCCAGGGGTTTATGTACAAATCACAAACGAGATGGGACTGCTGTGAACGTGTCTTGAGCTGTTTGTTTTCCAGCATCACTCTCATTACAAGGTTAGGGCAATGGGAAGATGCCATCACCTCACATCCCCAGCAGCAGACGAAGAACTCAATGTTACAACTCACTTTACAAGTTTTTTGACCAATCACACAAAGCAAAAGCACATTGACAGTAGTTCTGTCCAACCACTATAAGCACAGGTGCCTTTGGTTAAAACAATGCTTGCTTATTTAGAATACAACACCTGCTTGTAAGCCTTAAATGCACAGAGCTCCATTATCAAGCTCAGAACTTCCTAATATCTTGCTAGATGTAGTTTTCTGCAGCTTAGGGAGTTATTCTAGCCAAGCATTAATACACAGACTGTTGTTCATTTGTCCTTACCATTCTACTTTTTACATAACTTTTCTGCTGACAAATCTTATGGTTGCTGCTTAGCTCTAATTGCAGTTCTGCTGTCTCTGAGTCCTGCCTTTTGCAGCTTTCCCAAAACTCTCTGATTTTAAGGATTCCCACAAAGCCCATCAAGACCTAAACCTTAACAAGGCAATTCTATCAAGATCTCTTTCTTACAGCACCTGCACAAGCTTAGAGCTTGTTTGCTGCTCTCTGTTTCACAGGCTAAATGTCCTTTCTTGTTGATTATGTTTGAAAGCATAAAAAAAAAAATTAAACATCAAAGAACAAACCTTTTTAAGAAATATTTTACTTATCCCACATTTTGCAACAACATGACAGGAGGCTGTGGGTGCTTGCAGCAAAGCTTTATTGGGAGAAGCAGGTGGTGCTGCAGGAGCAGGGCCACAGCCCTGGCACTGCTGGGAAGCCCCCGCTGTCACCGTCACTCCTGTAACTGCAGGCGGGTGAAGACGTTGGTGCCCACCCTGTGGGGACACAGAGCACAGGATGTAAGGGGGGGACGTGGCAGTGTCCAAACACGCACCCAGCCCTGCATTCCTGCACCACATCTGCACCTCGGCAGGACCCCGGGGGATGGTGTTTTTCCATTCTGTGTTTTATCACAAAGCAATCAAGTGAACCTTGCCATCGAGATTTTGTAAGCTGTGCTTTTAAGACAGATATTAAACCTTGTCAACACCTGTGAGAGTGGCTCTGCAAGCAACCTAAACCACTTAACTTGTGGCAGCCCCAACCCCTCGGGGGTGCACAAGGACAACTTTGCCAGGCAGGGTCAGGGCTCACCTGGTGGCTTTCCAGTCATTTTTGATGCTGTCCACATGTGACCTCAGCAGCCACATGGTCTTCAGAACCTCCTTTCCTTGCTCATCCACGAAGCACTGGCCCGTGAAAACAGTGACGGAATCTGTGTGGACAAGACAGGAGGTGGAGGGGAGCGTGGCCGAGGTGGCAGTCAGTGGCTGCCCCAGCTCAGGGGACAGTAGAGCCGTGCTGTCCCCAGCCTCTGGGGACAGTGGGCATGGGGAAAGCAGCGGGAGGGCTCAGAGGGCCGGGGTGTCCCACGCAGATGGGCAGGCAGTGCAGGCTTCAGCCCCTGCTGCCTCTCCTGCAGCCTGGGACTGGGAGCTGAGAGCAAGCCAGGAGCTCCAGGGACAGGGATGGGGCAGCTGCAGGGAGAGGAGAGGGAGAGCAGTGGGGATAGGGCAGGGAATCAGCAAGGACACTGAAGGGAGGGCAAAAATACTTCAAGAGCAGAAGAGGCAGGGCAGGGGAGGTCCAGGATACCATAAGGAGGGAAAGAGGTACCTGAAAAGCTCCAGTTGACGGTGAAGCCAAAGGTGGGCTGGCCCTTCTGGTTAGGGCTCTTCTGCATGGATCCCTGCAGTGGTGACTGCTTGATCTCGTTGGAGGTGGCTGTCACAGCCGTGTGGTAGGAGCCAGCAAAGAGACCTTTTGCGTTCACGGATGCGATGGTCATGTTGGAGCCCAGGTCATTGACCCAGCGCCCGGTCAGGGAGCACTGCAGAGCAGGGAATTCAGCACTGGTGCAAGCAGGCACAGCCCCCTGCCCACCCACCCTGTGCATCCCAGCCTCACAGTACCTTCTTCACAGCAAGGCCATGAGCCCCCAGGGCCAGGAAGAGCACCAGCAGCAAGGGAGTTGCTTGCACCATCTCTGCAGCAGGAGGACAGCTGATGCACCTGGGATGTGCTCCTTGCAGCTCTCTGCTGATGCTCCTTTTCCCTCTCCTTTTTATTGCTGCCAGGGATGTGGGTGGCACCGCTGGCCAGGGCATTGTGCAATCTGGGTGTTTCCAAATTTGTGGTTCCCAGCCATAAGAGGGAGTAATTGCAGCAAACATTCCCAGAAATGAGTGCAGAAAATGTCCATTGCTGCTCTCCTGGCACCTTGCAGGGAGGCCCTGGCTCCTGCTGGTCACTGGCTGCTGGGAAATGGTCAGTGGGGAAAACCCCTCTCTGGAGCTGTTGCCCATTCTGTCACCTATTTGCCACATCACTCTGTACTCAGATTTTGAGGCTCCTTAAGCCTGGTGACCTCAGGACTGGCTGCAGTACACGGCTCACCCTGCTCTTCCTCACCAGGCATGCTCATGCAGGCTCACCCACCACCCAGATTCTTCTGGGTTCAGCTTTCCCGTGCTCGCCCCACCCCACTCCCTTACTGATGGGTCTACAAAGGTCTGATGTGCATGTTAAGCTGTTGTTTTTGCAAACTGGTTTGTGTTGGAAGGGAATTATTTACTTAGTGAGAAGCCAACATTCACTGAATATCTGGGACATTGGATCTTAATAGTGACAAAAGTTGTATTTACACTGGGATTCTTAAACAACTGTAAGAACAAATTTTCATAATTCCCCTTATGGTACGTTTGTTGCTGGCCAAGGAGGCTGAAGTGAATGGATTCAGCCCAGAGTTCCTCACCCATTTCTGAATGATTTTCAAGGCATTGTCCTAAAATGCCTGGTTTTGTTTCCCAAATCATTATACCAAAAGCCGAAGGAGTCTATTCACCAGAAAACAATACTTCTTGTAAACTGGAGACAAGGCAGTTCTTTGCAATGTCTCAAAAATAAACAATACATATTTTTATTTTTCTCAGCCTTTGCTTTTTCTTAAATTTCACATTGGAGCTCTGGTTTCTCTCTGACAGTAAATTTCATTGCAATCCCAGCTGGAGAGAATTGTTTTTCTGCTGCTGGCATCTCCACAGCCCCCTCTCCTCCCTACAGGAGCCCTACAGCCCTCTTGCATCCTGCCTGGAAGAAATCCCTGTCCAGAGAGCTGGCTGGCAGCCGCACATTCCTCCCCAGTGCTTTCTGTCCCAGAAATCAACTGCTTAACAAGGTGTGCTTTAGCACATAGCTGCCATTTGCTCTGACTGTTTTTTGGCAAGCAGGCGCTGCCCAGAGCATTGCCAATGTTTGGGATAACAAGTAGGGTAAATCTGGGAAGGTTGCAGAGGGCAGGAGGGGCAGACATCATCCCTTCTCCATCACCACGGTTCAGGGGGCTCCTGCAGGAACCCTGTGGATGGACAGCACAAAGTCTCCCTGCTGTTGATGGCAGCCCACAGCTCATTTACAGGTGTAGGTTTATTTTATCATCACACAAACAATATTGTTTGTTTGTTCACATAATCTTTATTTTTCCTGTAGTTTACAATCCCTGTGGCTCCTCTCGCAGGTTCAGGGGCCAGCTCAGTGCCCAAGCAGGCAGATTTCTTGACTGATCTCAGCTGAGTGCTGAGGTGTCTCCGTGGGGTTTGTGCCCTCCAAAGATCAGAGAATAAATTGCCTTGGAGCTGACAATCATCACCAGAACTAAATTCTGCAATGCCATGCCTGAGCCCTGGCACAGCAGAAAGTGGGGGCAACCAGCAGTCAGGGAAGAAATCCAAAGCAGGAAGCACTGAAGAAGTTAAAGTCATCAGGGCTGTGGTTTAAAACCCATGTACATTCAGGGTGTTGTGAAAAATAAGGGCTGGTGAATAATAGTAAGAAACAGTTAATGAACAAGTTAACTTGCTGCTCAAACTGGGATTGAGACAGCCTTGAAAAACAGTGGTGCAGGCAAAATGTCTGTGACCAGGGACTGTCCTCTCAGCCCTCAGCTCCATCCATGCAGAAGCTGACAAAAGCTGAGCCTATCAGATACAAGACTTATTGAGGTGATACAGCCCAGAGTGGAGGAGAAATCAGAAATATCCCTTTATACAGACTGAACCCCAACCTTTGGAAGGCACGCTGCCTGGTTAAGGAACAGTACTGATGTGGCAAAGCAATACCAGTCCAGCCAGAAGCTCTGCTGTCCTCAGTGCCCGCTCTTGTTCCTTGCCAGCTGGATTGGGACATCTCTGCTATTGTTGGAAGCTGCCAACAGGATACGGATGGACGTGGGAACCTTGGGTGTTCCTCGCTGATGTGCTGGCACCCCTGTCCCACCAACCTTGCCACAGTGACCCTAAGGGACTGCATCTCCATCCCTGTCCATCGTCTGTGGGCTTTGCCATGTGAGGATGACACTGGCTGCTCTGGTCATGCTGCATCCAGGACAGCCTGTCCTTCCTGGGTATTGTTACTTTCCTACTTATGTGGTTGCAGGCACACTCCCCTGGGGAGTGAAAAAAAGGACATTTGTCACCCACTGACAGCCCTGGGCCACCATGGCATGCCCTGCCTGCCAAGTTCCCAAGACAGAGAAGTGGGGGAAGAATGCTCCCAGTAAATAGGATAAGCTGCTTCCCATCCTACCCTAAAGGCTGCTGAGGACTTAGGGGACACTGAGCTCTAAAGTGGACAAAAAATGCTGATAGTCCTTCCTGTGGTGTCCTTGGAGCCCTCCTGTGATGCCCTTCACTGTGATGTCCTCAGAGATGCCCTGCCCTACCTGCAGTGTTCACAGAGCTCCACTGCCCTCCCTGCGATGTCCTTCATGCTCTTTTTCTGTCCAGCTCTATTCGAGATCAAGTGAGCTCCCTGTCCCTGCCCTGCACAGGTCCCCTGGGCATCCCCAGGGACGATGAGGCTGTCCTACCCCATGGGTGTCCCTTGCAGGAGGCTCAGCCCCCTCTGCTATAAAAGGGGCTGAGGGGGCATGGGGCAGCAGTGCAGGCAGAGCCCTGGCACCACACACACCCACCACTGCCATGGGGACCCCAGGCTGCTGCTGCTGCTGGCCCTGGCCCTGTGATGCAGCATCCAGGGAGGGGAGGGCAGCCCTGGGGCAGAATCTGGCCGTGCCGTGCTGAGCCGTGCTGTGCTGTCCCGGGTGCAGGGTGAGGGGCTGCAGGCCCTGGCTGTGCTGTGCCATGCTGTCTAACAGGCTGTGTGCTCTTGTTGAGCCCTGCAACGCCATCCCACCCCATCCCAGTGTTATCCCATGGTGCAGCGTCCGTGACCACGGGAATTTCCAGCTCCGGCTGTGCTGCCTCTGTGAGTACTGTTGATGACTTACCCACGGTATAGGGGAGTACCCAGCACTCCCAGCTCTGTCCTGCTCTGCCTGGCAAAGGAGAGGTGCTGTCCCAGCTGGTGCTCACGCAGGTGCTCCCTGGTGCCAAAAAAGGGGCCATGCTGGCCCCACACATGCAGGACCCATGTCCCACTGCTTAGGGAGTCTGTGACTCAGCATTTACCAAGACATCCATCAAAACTCACAGTTCCCAGCATTGTCTGGGAACGCAACAGGAAGGGCAGCAGACCTCCCTAATCCCCGTGCCTCCCTAACCAGGCTGGTGCAGACTGCAGAGGTTGCACTGGCACAGAAAGCAGGAAAAGGAAGCAAGGTGCCCAGCCCTGGGCAGAAGGGCACAGGGTTTGGTTAACTGGCACAGCTGCTACCCCACAGAGGTATTTTCTGGCTCCTAGCCTTACTGCACCTTGCAGGCAGCAGACAAGAAATCAAGGGTCAGTTCTTTTGTGCCTTTACATGTGGAGCAGTGGGTAAGGAGGCACATCCTGCTCCCTTCAGCAAAACTCCACAAGAACAAACCACCACTGGGACGTGTCCCCTCCACACCTCCCTAGCCCTTCAGCCTAATCCAGGAAGATAATGGGGAATTGCAAGAGTTCCCTCTTCCACCTTGGTCCTGTGCCAAAGAAAACACCAAAGAAGGACGAGAGTAGACAGCTGGACAGATTTATTAAGAATTGAAGTGATTTATCCCCTTGAATGTGCTCCACTGCCTGCCCCCGGCGCCAGCAGGGAGGGGCCATGGTACCAGACCAGGACCTGCTTCTTGGGCTCAGATTGTCACTGTGCAGGGAGCCGGGTCTCCCCTGGGGATTGTGCCTGCCACAGGCCCTCCTGGGGCACAGCCAGTCCCTATGGGCAGTGCCAGCCCAGGACAACTACAGCACCCGTGTGCCCCAGAGCACCGCTCCAGTATCCTCACACACACATTCCCCCACAGCCTCTTCTTTCCCTGCAGGACAGCTGCCCACCTCCCCCAGCCCAGGGACTGCAGGAGAGAGGTCTCCTGTGCCCCTGGGCAAGGTGCCAGCTGCAGTTTGGGATGGGCCTCCTTGGCTGTTCAAAATCTCTGCCAGATGCTGTGGCTTGTTCCCAAAGTGAGGCTGTATCCAAACTTGCCATTGCTAGTCCTTGCTGTGGTTCCTCAAGAGCTGCTCATACCACTTTGGACTGTTCTTGACAGTCAGTGGTGCCCTGACACACTACGAGGAGTGGGAGAGGAAGATGGAAGCGTGCAGAAAAGCTTTATTGGGAGAAGCAGCTGCTGAAGCAGGAGGAAGGGCTAGAGCCCGGCGCTGCCTCTTCTTCTGGGAGCTCCAATGCTACCAACCCTCAATCCTTGAGCTCTTCCAGGCGCCAGAATGTGTCGTAGCCAGCCCTGAGGGGACACAGACAGAGAAAAAGTAAGGGTGGGACATGGAGTCGCCCAATGCCCACCCAGCCCTGTGTCCTTCCAAACCATTTGCACCTTGTCAGGATGCCCAGGGAAGCTGGGCACAAGCACCCTGTCCTCCCTCACCTGCACACTGGCAGCTGCTGTGCCAAGTGCTGAGCACCACAGGCTGGGAGCACCACCCTTCATCCCCACCCTCGGGCCATTCAGGATTCCTTCTCAGGCCTTTGGCTTTGGAAATGCCTCTCAGGTGGTGAAGCTTCCCTTGAGCTAGTCACAGACACTTTGCACACCAAGTCCCTCTGTTGCCTTAGCAAGGAACCAATAGCCCAAAAGCCTTGGGCAATTACTTGCCTGAATCATAGCCCAAGTGGAACAATGTTATCATTACTGGAACTGTGAAAAATTCCTGTCATCACCATCTCACACTACATCCTGCATGAAGACTGACTGATGGCTGAGGTCAATCATCCCATGACTTTACCACAGCATTCCTAAGGGAGGCCCCTGGAGCTCTCCTGGACCACTGCAGGGGCTGTGCCACCATCTCCTGCCGAGCGCGTGGCTGAAGGGATGTGAACACCCCATAGCAAGTGCACTGGGACTGCTGCCAGCCTCCATCTATAATTTAGTCTCTGCTGTAATTGTGGTAAACCTTCCCAAATCACTTGACAAACGTTAAATTACTCAATGGTTAAGTGCTGCCATGTCCTTTAGACAGAAACCATTGAGAAGGTCGAGATTAAGAGTGGAATCAGCCCCAGCTGGGATCCATCAGTAGTTTAGAAAGCAGAGGGGACCTCCCTGAACTTTGTGATTCAGTTGAAGGCTCTCACTTCTCCTTTTCCATCTCCAGCCTCCATCAGCCATGGAGCTCTGCTAAGTCCCACTTTTGCAAACAGATATTAAAGCTCCTTTTGCCAACACCTGTGAGAGTGACTCCTAAGTGACCTAAAGCACTCATCTGTGACAGCCCCAACCCCTCAGGGCTGCACAGGGACCTGGGAACATGGAGTCAGATTCCTCATTCCTTCCTGCCACAAAGGTCCCCACAAATACAATACTCCACCCTCCCTCAGTGACTCCAAGGGAGAGCTTCTTTGCATCTTGGTCCCTCTTCATTTGCTGTGGGCTCTGACATGGGAAGATACCAGGGGCTGCAGGGGGGCCACATACAGGAGCTTGCTCTTGCCATGTAACGTTATTCCTCTGCCCAGAAATTCTCCATGGGAACAAAAAATGGCATTTGTCACCAATGGCAGCACTGGGGCAGCATAATGATCTGCTGAAGAATGGTCATGGAGGAGAGGACAGGCTACTTCATATCTGCCAGCCCTGATAGCTGTTGAGAGTTAAGGATGCACTTTGGCACAAAAGAAGTCCTGTCATGGCCAGAAAGAGATAACAGCCCTTCTTGTGGTGTCCCTAGAACTCCTTCACCCCTTTCTGTGGTGTCCCAGAGATGCAACGTGTTTCCTGTGGTGTTCTCAAAGCTCCCACACCATGCCTGTGGTGTCTTCAATGATCTTCTCACTTGCTGCCCTGGCTGTGCTCCCTGCCAGCTCACTCAGTGTCCCCCCAGACTCCGTCACTGTCTCATGGGTGTCCCCTGGCAGGAGGCTCAGCCCTCTCTGACATGAAAGGAGCAGAGCCTGGGCACCACACACGGCCACCACCACCACGGGCACCCCGGGCTGCTGCTGCTGCTCGCCCTGGCCCTGCTCGTGGCCCGTGCTGCTGCATGCAGGGAGGTGAGAGCAGCCCTGGGCAGCCTGGCCGTGCCGAGCCGTGCTGTGCTGTCCCGGGTGCAGGGAGGGTGAGGGGCTGCACGCCCGGGCCGTGCCATCGTCCCTGGGCTGGGTGTTCTCTCTGTGCCATGCTCTGCCACCCCAGCACACAGAGGATTTGCCCGAGGGGCTGCAGGCTCTGGCTGCACTGGCCTGCACCATGCTGGGCCATGCCACAGTGCAGTGGCCGTGACCACGGAGGCTGCCAGCTCTGGCTCTGCTTCCCTGGGGCTCCTGTGGGTCACCTGCCCTGCTCTAGGGGGGCACGCAGCACCTCCTGCTCTGCTGCCCTGCCCAGACACCCAGCCTTGCTCTCCTCACTGATGGCCATGTGCTGCTCCCAGCTGCCAGGGGCAGGGGCTGTGCCATGAGACACACATCCCCTGCTTAGCCAGCCTGAGCGTGGCACTGTGCCTCAGCACTGAGTCACCCACACCAGCCCCAGGGTCACCTGCAGGGCCTGTGCAGAAACCAGCTGGGACTGACTCTCAGCAGGATGTCAGCCCTGGCAGCTCAAGATTCTATTGATAGTATATCACTTGCTGGTTTCCTTTCTTTGTTTCTTTACCAGTTCTATCACACCTTCACATCTCTACTCAGGATGTTGAACGTTAGGGTCTGACAAGTCAGACTCATTTCAACATTATTCAACACCAAAAGCAGCATGACACTCCTTTCTCCATTCACCACTGTAAATAGGGAACCACAAATATTTGCAAATAGGGAATTGTTCAAGTTATTTCACCCCCACTGCAGGCACAGCATCCTTATACAGAAAGGTGCCTGGGTGTCCGTCTCTGTCTTAGGGATATTGTACCCATCTCTCCAGGAGATCTGTGTTTCTGTAGGCACAACAGGAGCTCCCTCCTTTCTATCCCCCCACAGCAGGATTTTACTGCCTTCAAATGCTGCAGTGGCAGAGAAAAAAAGGAAGTGGAAGCAAGGTGCCCAGCCCTGGGCAGAAGGGGACTCAATGTGGTCGAGGGCCTGCAGCCCTGTGGCTCAGCTGCTGCCCAGAGAGGCCTTCACAGGAGGAATGCTCTCTCCTCTGCTGCCTGAAAGACAGGGCAGAGCCAGGAGCCAAGCAAGAAGCACTCTTACCTGCTGCTATTACATCTGGAAAAGGGGGTAAAGAGGCACATCCTGCTCCCTTCAGCAAAATTCCACAAGAGCCAGACACCACTGGGACGTGTCCCCTCCCTGTCTCCCTAGCCCTTCAGCCTAATCCAATGGGGAACTGCAAGAGCTCCCTCTTCCACCTTGGTCCTGTGCCAAAGAAAACACCAAAGAAGGACGAGAGTAGACAGCTGGACAGATTTATTAAGAATTGAAGTGATTTATCCCCTTGAATGTGCTCCACTGCCTGCCCCCGGCGCCAGCAGGGAGGGGCCATGGTACCAGACCAGGACCTGCTTCTTGGGCTCAGATTGTCACTGTGCAGGGAGCCGGGTCTCCCCTGGGGATTGTGCCTGCCACAGGCCCTCCTGGGGCACAGCCAGTCCCTATGGGCAGTGCCAGCCCAGGACAACTACAGCACCCGTGTGCCCCAGAGCACCGCTCCAGTATCCTCACACACACATTCCCCCACAGCCTCTTCTTTCCCTGCAGGACAGCTGCCCACCTCCCCCAGCCCAGTGACTGCAGGAGAGAGGTCTCCTGTGCCCCTGGGCAAGGTGCCAGCTGCAGTTTGGGATGGCTGGGCAGCCTGCAGGCTGTCACAGCCCAGAGTGATGGCGAAGGGGAGGCACAGGCTCCAGCAGCAACTCCTTAAGCCACCATGCTCTGAGGAGACATCCCCCACACCTCCGGTCCCGCCCTTGTGCTCAGCATCAGCAGCTGGAAGCCCCCTGAGGTCAAGGGCACGTAGTGGAGGTAGGGAAGGAAAACAGCAATGTGAGTACTAGCACAGCGAGGGAGGGGAGGGTCCCTGCCTGCCATCTGCCCCCCCAGCCCGTGGTGCACCCGGTGCCCTGCCCAGAGCCACGAGGCTCAAGGGTGGGTGCTGCCCTGGGGGAGCTGTGCGGGTGCCGGTGCCCGGCCAGCGCGGCGCTCCAGGGCCAGCTGCATGCTCCAGATGCTGAGGGGCCGCATGTAGGCCAGTGAGCGGTACACCTTCTTCTCCCGATAGGCCTCCGGAGTCTGGAAAGCCATGCCCAGCCGCTCCCACACCGTGCGGTAGCAGCCCTCCGCCGTACGGAAGCCTTCCTCCACCATGCCCTGCACGAGAGGGGACAGGACCATCAGCACGGCCAAGGAGCACAGGCTGGGCAGCGCGGCAGCAGCGCGCCCACGCTCACCTCCTGGATCATGGTGGCCGCCAGGGAATAGACCACGCCGACCCAGACCTCGTTGGACTGCACGCTGGAGGTGTCGGGCACGCCGTCGGGCCTCATGCCGTTCACGGCCCCCATGGCGCCGCCCGCGAAGCCCAGCACGTTCTTCTCGAAGATGGTCTTGAGCGCGCTGAGAATGTGGCTCTTGGGGAAAACCTGGGTGGACAGAGACGGGTTTGGTGATCACGTGGACCCCTCAGGCTGGGTCTGCAGCGGGATTAAATTTTCCGTGAGGAAAAGGGCAACACAGCTCGCTGGGTCAATAGTAAAAAATTGCCACCTCAAAGAATTACAGGAGGAAGTGAAACGTCTCTTTCCTCAAAAGAATAAAAAAGCCCCCAAAATACTTTACAGAGAAGTGCTGAACCACATTCCACATTCTTCAAGAGGACGCTGACAGCTCATCTAACTAGTTGATCTCTAAAAACAGCTTCTCACCCACAACCACTGGCCAAGCCCCTTCCCATTGCTTGTGGGTTTGCTTTGGGGGCCTGGCCAACCACGCCATCCTCATCTGCTTTATGGTTGTCACTTGCAAGAGAGACAAGAGCCATGAGGTTCATCAGCACAGCCAGGGACATGCCAGACACTTATTCCCACTCTGGTGACACCAGAGTCAGGGGAGGCAGAGGCTGGGGTGACACCAGGCAGCTCCTTGCCAGGGAAGGCTGGGCAGTGCAACCACAGAGCTTGGGCACACTCAAAGCAACAGCAGCAAATCCCTTCTCTCTGTGCTCAAGCCAAACACCCCTGCAGATATTTATTCCCAGTGTGGCTCTGGAGATAAGGCATGGGGATGCTGTGGGAATCAGTGAAGGGCTGGGGTGCCCTTCTCTGGCAGAAGCTTTTGGGCACACTCTCTTCAGGACGGGAGCACAGGCGGTTCTTACGTCGCATTTCTGACTCGTTCACTGCTGACTGTGCACACACCAAGGCCACGGCAATGAGCTCACACACAGCAGTGATGCCAGACAGGCACTGGAGCAGAATCCATGGGGAAAAACCCATGAAATGTCCCAGTAACAGAGGATGGGAACTCAGCAGTGCCACCTGCAGTCAGCTCAGAGCTCACCAGAGAGCAGGGACAAGTGCCACCTTCAGCAGCACGAGGCTGAGCTGGGCAAGGGCAGGCCACATTCTGGACTGCACCACAGCTGCTGTTTCCTGCCCACAAGGAACTGCAGCAGGGATTTACTGCAGGAGGGCTGGGCCAGACCCTGCCTGGAGCCCCGGGCACAGCCCCAGCCCCACACTGGCTTAAACACAGGAGGGAATCAGCAGCTAAAGTCACCTGAAGCTCCCCTCTGATTTCCCAACACACAGTCAAGTGCTTTGTCACCCTCCCACAGACAAAGCCACTGCTCCCTTCACTCAGCTGAGGCCTTTGCCTGCCTGTGAGCACCAGAAAGCTTTGCTGTGACAACAACCCATGGAGTATAAATAACCCAATGGTTCTTCACTGCCCCTCTCCCTTTAAGCTATTGCAGCACAAGTGGCTGCTCTGACCATCCCAGCAGACACGAGGATGCTGCAGCCAATTCTACTCTTGCAACTGAAGAGCGACTGAAGAGCCTTCAGGACTTGCAATAAGCCCCAGTTCCACCTGATATTAATTCTGGACTTTTTAGGGCAGCAAATAACGTGGAAAGTTTTATACACTTTTTTTCTACCATTTTTAAACAAATAGCACCTTGCTCACAAGAAACCCCAGTGGGGCCAAAGCTAACTGCAGTTACACATCCCTGCTTGCAGGGCCTCCTCTTAAATTGGAGAGGGTTCCCGCTTAAGATGGATTCCACTGTATTCCACATCCAACAGCCTCCACTATGGTGTGCAGAGTAGGAGATCAGGAAGGTGCCTCCCACACTAGCCCTAAAGTATAACCCCCAACACATGCCAGCCCTCCTGCCACAGGTCCCATCTCGCCACAATCGCACCAGGCAGCCCCTTCTCTTACCTCAAACTCCCCTTGGTCCAGACCACAAGCTCCAAGAAACCACTGCCCAGCACATTGATCTGACATGATGCTGCTGGACGTGTCACTTCCACTGCTATCATAATTGTAGTATTTTCCTGGAAAAGGCAGGAAACAGTTTAAAATCAATAGATCAATAAATATACTGTCTTGTGTGAGCTGTCCCTACACACCTCCCTGTGCAGCAGGAGCACAGCTGCTTTTTCCACACGACTCTTCTTGCTTTCCCACACCTATTCCTTCTCCTTCCCTGCCATTTGGAGGGGCAGCATCTCCCTTCCTTCCCCCCAGCTTCCAGGCACAGTATTGCCCTTTCCTTCCCCCATTCCCCACAAGGCTCCACGATCCAAGGAGGAGCCACTCCCTCCCAAGGGACACACAGCCAGCTGAGTGTTGTTCCCCACTGCTGAGCACCCACCATTCCAGAGCATCCTCTCAAACGCCTCCTTGCCCTTGTTCAGGATGTCCAGGTATTTCTGCTGGATCTCAGTATCCCCAAGCACCTCTGCCATCTTGCACATCATGCAGACAGCAGCCAGCCACAGTCCGCCGCAGTAGGCACTGCCAGAGCCAAATGAGAGAAGAGTCAGGAATGAGGGACACCTCAAGGGTTCTGTGACAAATGGGATACAGCAGCCCAGCTCTGAGCCCAGTCCCTTCCCCACAGCCCCCATCTCCAACCCCCCCTGCCTCTCTTGCTCACCTGGCTCCGTGCACCACCCACGCGTCGTACGTCTGGTCAGCAAAGCCTCCGTTTTCAATGAGCCCATCGTTATCCGTGTCAAACTTCAGCTCCGACTCCATCACAGCCTGTGGGAGAGGCAGGACATGGTCACATAGTCCTCACTCCACAGAAGCTCCTCACCCTCTGCTCAGGAGCATCCATCCTCTCAGGAAGCTGCTTGGCTCCTGAAGAGGGAAGTAGGAAAGGGTGATGCCCCACAGTCTGATCCCCCTGTACCTGGCACACTGGCCACATGTCCCGCAGGTACAGGGAGTCGTGGGTCAGGTAGTAGTCACGGTACACCTGCAGCACAAACTTCAGGTTGAGGTCCTTCCAGTCAGCAGTGTCGTGCATCAGGTAGGCATTGACACGCTGCCATGGCTCGTCACCTAAACCAGGACAGACCAGATGCAGCAGGGCAGCAAGCAAGAAACATCCCTCCTCCTATACAGGAGCAAGGACCCAAGGGTGCTGTGATCAAACAGCACCGAAATAATATGTTGTACCCTGTGCCATCTCTAGCAAGAACAGCCTTCCTGCTACTTCCCTCCATCTCCCTTGTAAAAGATCCATGCAGCATGGTCTTCATCACCACCCCACACCATCCAGCCTTCCATTCCCAGAAAATACAGAATCACAAAATCACTTAAGTTGGGAAAGACCTCTCAGCACTGCTAAATCCACCACGTAACCACATCCCTCAGTGCCACATCTACACTTCTTTTAAATACACCACGGATGGTGGCACCACAATTTCCCAGGCAGGCAGTTCCAATGCTTGCCAACAATAAACATTGAATTTCATGCACCATACCTGATCCCCACAGCTTGGCATCCCCTCTGCTCCTCCACCGGCCCAACAGACCCCTCACCTGGGTCCCCAATGTCATGTGGCACCACATTCTTCATCTTCACCTGGGCTGTTTGACCACACATCAGGTACTGCCGGGGCTGGACATCCTCGTTCACCACAGTGACAGCTGTAGAGGACACACAGCAGGACAAGTAAGAAGGGCAGCAGAAACTGCTGCAGAAAAGTCCAAGCACAAGCACAGGCAGAACCACCAGCACCAGCATGCCAGGCTGCCTTTTGGAGCTCCAAGATCACACCTCTCTGCAAAGGGCTGAGGGGACAGGCTTCTCGCCATCCCCCACTCAGAAGGGGAGATGCAACTGTCACTACCCACTTAAGGGAGGGCTGGGAAGGGAACCCAGTGGACTCAGCCCTACCAGAGCCCAGCAAAGGGCTGTGCTCCACACTCCTACCCAGGCCAGCAACAAACAGCCACCAAACCCAGCTAGAGCACTGGGAGTCTGCAAACAGCTCCATGTCCCCTCTGCAAGGAGCAAGGACAGAGCTGGGAAGAGCAGGGGCTCTCCCAGGGCAGGCAGAGCCAGCTGTGCTCCCCCAGCATGGCAAGAAGGCACCCCCAGTGCTGGGCACAGAGCTGCTGGGGCAGCAACACTCCAGGGCTGCAGTCCTGGGCTCAGCAGAGCGGCTGGAGGGGCTCCATGGCACACATCTCTGCAGCAGCAGCAGCAGCAGCAGCAGCTGTCCCAAGGTGTCCATCTCTCCCCGAGGTGAAGCCCTGAGCAGGCACCAAGGCAGGGCTCTGGGGACACTTGGTTGTTTAGGCTGCTCCTTGTGTGAGGACACGAGGTTTGACTCTATTTTCATCAGAAGGCTGATTTATTATGTTATATATTATATTAAAATACTACACTAAAACTATACTAAAAGAACAGAGAGAAGAAGATCAGAAGGCTACCAAGACAAGAACAGAATAGGAAATGAATAACAAAAATCCTGTGACTGCTCACAGCCTTGGCACAGGTGGCTGTGATTGGTCACTGATTGAAAACAATCCACATGGACCAATGAAAGATGCACCTGTGGCCTTCCACAGCAGCAGATAGTTACTGTTTACATTTCTTTCCTGAGGCTCTCAGCTCCTCAGGACAGGAAAAATCCTAGCAGAGGAATTTTCACTAAAATATCATGGCTACAGACACTCACCAATGTCATACTGCAGGCTGATCTGCAGCTTGGGCCACAGCATGATGAGAGCGAAGGAGGCGTAGAAATGGACGTCGTAGGTGTTGTACATCCGGTACTCCTGGCCTGGCAGGACAGGGCAGGGGGTGAGGGCAAGGAGACTGCCACGGGGAGGGGAAAGGGGCAAAGGTCCTCCCTGCACATGGCCCAGGACAGGGGCATCTTTGCCAGCACAGGCAGGGGCTCCCCTTCAAAGAGGCTTTCATTCTCTACACAGAGCAGAGAGGGATGTGGGCAACACTCCATGCCCTATCCCTCAGGCCTGCAAGGGGTTTTCCTGGGAATAGCACTGCTCCCTGCACACATCCGAAAAATAGAAGGACTCCAAAAAATACTACCCACAACCACCTCATGCCTCACCATTGGCAACCTGGCTCTAATAGGAACACCATTCCTAGCAGGGTTCTACTCAAAAGACCAAATCATGGAAAGCTTAAACACATCCTACCTAAATGCTTGAGCCCTCCTACTAACTCTCCTAGCCACATCCTTCATGGCAGTATATACAATCCGTATAACCGTACTAGTACAGACCGGCATTGTTCAAATTCAACCCTTAACCCCAATCAATGAAAACAACCCCGCAGTAACTTCCCCCATTACCTGCCTTACTCTAGGAAGCATTATAGCAGGATTCATCATCACCTCCTACATTCTTCCTGCAAAAACACCACCAACAACTATACTGCTATCCATCAAAACAACAGCCATAGTGGTAACAGCCCTAGGAATCGCCATAGCCCTAGAAATATCAAAAACAACCCAAATACACACCCTAACAAAACAAACACCTCTATCAAACTTCTCCATCTCCCTAGGATACTTCAACCCCCTAGTTCACCACCTCAGCATAACTTCTCCATCTCCCTAGGATACTTCAACCCCCTAGTTCACCACCTCAGCATAACCAACTTCCTGAGCGGAGGACAAAAGATCGCCTCCCACCTAATCAACCTGTCCTGATACAAAATACTAGGCCCAGAAGGACTGGCCAACCTACAGCTAACAGCATCCAAAATCTCCACTACCCTCCACTCCGGCTTAATCAAAGCCTGCCTAGGATGATTCGCTCTGTCCATCCTCATCATCCTTATATCAATACACAGAACCAACAAATGGCCCTCAACCTTCGTAAAAACCACCAAATCCTAAAAATCATCAACGACGCCCTAACTGACCTCCCTACACCATCCAACATCTCAACATGATGAAATGCCGGGTCACGGCTGGGCATTTGCTTAATCTCCCAAATCGCTACAGGCTTACTGCTAGCCATACACTACACAGCAGACACCAACCTAGCATTCTCTTCTGTCGCTCACATATGCCGAGACATTCAATCCGGCTGACGAATCCGCAACCTTCCCGCTAACGGAGCCTCATGCTTCTTCATCTGCATCTACCTCCACGTCGGCCAAGGACTGCATTACGGCTCTCACCTCAACAAAGAAACCTGAAACGTCGGAGTTATCCTACTCTTAACCCTCATAGCAACCGCCTTCGTGGGATATGTCCTACCATGAGGCCAAATATCCTTCTGAGGAGCTACAGTTATCACAAACCTCTTCCCAGCAATCCCCTATAGCAGACAAACACCAGTAGAATGAGCCTGAGGCGGATTTTCAGTAGACAACCCCACATTAACCCGATTCTTCGCCCTCCATTTCCTACTCCCATTCGTCATTGTAGGACTTACACTAGTTCACCTCACATTCCTACACGAAACAGGATCAAACAACCCCCTAGGAATCCCATCAGACTGCGACAAAATCCCCTTCCATCCCTACTACACCGTAAAAGACATTCTAGGATTCGTACTCATGCTCTCCCTGCTAGTCTCCCCAGCTCTATTCTCCTCTAACCTCCTAGGAGACCCAGAAAACTTCACCCCAGCCAACCCCCTAGTAACTCCCCCACACATTAAACCTGAATGACATTTCCTATTCACCTACACCATCCTACGATCCATAAACCAGGAGGAGTCTTAGCCCTAGCTGCCTCAATCCTAGTCCTATTCCTAACCCCACTTCTCCACACATCAAAATTATGATCAATGACCTTCCGCCCTCTATCACAAATCTTATTCTGAGCCCTAGTTGCCAACGTCCTCGTTCTAACCTGAGTAGGCAGCCAAGCAGTAGAACACCCGTTCATCATTATTGGCCAACTAGCCTCACTCTCATACTTCACAATTATCCTAGTCCTATTCCCCCTTGCAGCCGCCCTAGAAAACAAGCTGCTCAAACTCTAATAAACTCTAACAGTTTATGAAAACATTGGTCTTGTAAACCAAAGATTGAAGATTACACCCCTTCTTAGAGTTACCCAGCCATTTCAGGAAAAAGGACTTAAATCTCTATCACCAACTCCCAAAGCTGGCATTTTAAATTAAACTACTTCCTGATCCTTCCCCTAAACAGCTCGAATAGCCCCCTGAGATAAACCTCACACGAGCTCCAACACCACAAACAAAGTCAACAACAACCCCCACCCCCCAACTAACAACAGCCCAACCCCATCCGAATAAAACAAGGCCACCCCACTAAAATCTGACCAAACCGACAACAAACCACCATTATTCACCGTGCCCTCACCCACCAATAGCCCCACCACACCCCCCACAACAAGACCAACCACAACAACTAAACCCATACCAAAGCCATAGCCAACAACCCCCCAACTAGCCCAAGCTTCAGGATAGGGGTCCGCTGCTAACGACACAGAATAAACAAACACCACCAACATTCCCCCTAAATAAACCACAACAAGCACCAAAGATACAAAAGAAACCCCTAAACTTACCAACCAACCGCAGCCTGCAACAGCTGCCACAACCAACCCCAATACTCCATAATAAGGAGAAGGATTAGATGCGACTGCTAACCCCCTCAAAGCAAAACATAACCCTAAAAACAGCACAAACTCTATCATAAATTCCTGCTCGGCCTCTCCCCGAGAAGTGTGAAAACCATCCCCATGGCAGGTTCAAATCCCATGGATACAGTAATGGCAGGGCTTGAGGGTGGAGAATGCCTGACATCCTTGTGAGTTACCTTCCAAATAAGCAAACCTTCCGTACTCCCGCAGGACAGGGAGGAGGTGGGAGAGCCCTGCCCCCGCCGGCCCCTGCAGGTCCTGGGCACAGCAATCAGGGGGCACCTCCATCCAGATGGTCCCTCCATCCGACATGAAGTAGAGCTCATTGAAGAGGGCTGACTTGTACCAGGAAGGCAGCTGGCTGCGGGAAACAGGGAAGCTCAGCCTCCCAGGCCGAGAGGGTGATGCTCCTGTGGCAGCCAAGCCCAGCAGGCCACTGGCAAGGTGCTCCCATCTGCCCTACCTGTTCTCCAGGATGGGATTCTGCCAAGCTTCTATCTTCCTCTCCCACTCTTCGTAGTGTGTCAGGGCATAATGGGACAGGGCAGGAGCAGCATCGCCTTTGCTGCCAAAAAACCGGGTGTACCGCCTGCCAAGGGAGGGTTTGGTCAGCACCCCGTGGGCTCCACCTGGGAAACCCACACGGACACCACAGAGGGACAATGGACTACAGACAACAGCAGAACTCAACTGCTGCTGCAGGGGCTGGACAGAGGGTCCCCTCCTGAACTGGCCTCCCCCTGTGACCACAGCCACAAGGAGTGGGTGGCAAAAGATGCTCTCATAGTACACAAGACAAGGAGGAGGGAAAATGGGGCTTTGGGGGCATGAACCAAACACCAGTGGAGAGAACCCACCTACCTAAGGTGCAGCTTCTCCTTGGAGCCAAAGTGCACACAGGGCATGTCCCAAGCCAGGGCTAACTCCAGCGTCTTGTGCCCATGGGCAGGCACCGTACAGCTGGCACACACTGCTGCTGCTGTCACCTCCCCCTTCTCTGTCGGCCTGCTCTTACCTGCCAGGAAAAATTAAGATATTCTTAAGCAACCAAGGAAGACCAAAGGGAGGGTAACTGAAGTTCACACACACCTTGAGGGAGATGAGACTGGGCATACCAAAGCTCCTGTACAACTTGGAAGGTACAGCCCAGGTCTTTAAGGGATGATGTTGCCACAGGGGAAAAAAACCTTCCATGGGAGGAGTGGTTAAAAGGATTCAGTCATCCAAGAACAGGAACAGATCAGGCAGGAAAAGCCACCAGGCATGAATGGAAGCTACAGAGTATCCCATGACTCTGTATCTGTGCTGCAGTCAGAGACACTGTGACTTTCTAGGGACAGTCATTGTTTCCAGCTTTTTGCAGGCTGCTTGAGCCATGCTGGTATTTCAGAAAAGCCCTGAGGTGGCTGGATAATTATATGCTGGTTCTGACATGTGTAAAAGGTAAACTCATTAGAGCGACATAAGTACAGATCCTGACTATGATAATGTCTGGCATGCATGAAGAAAAACCACATCCCAATAGCTTGGAGAGCTCTGAGTGCATCTAGGCAGGAAGCTTATTTTTCTGGAAAAAAATTACATACTAAATGCTTCATTAATGTAATTTAAGCCTCAAGAAATCTTGCAAACACAAAGCATCACTAGTTTACCAGCATCATCCTTGATTAAAAACCGACAGACATTAGGGAAATGGTCACCTTTTATGGCAATACAAGGTGAGTACCAAGGGCTGGGGATGCCACCCTGCTTCAAGGCTCCTCCCAAGGGAGTGAGCAGAGACCCGAGGACAGATGCAGAATTATGAGAAGAATACCAGAGATGTTCAGAGAACTGTTACAGCAGGAAGAGGACAGAAAGTGACAGCAGCACTAAACCCCAAGCACTGTTAAATGCAGGTGGTAACAATTCTGACAGGACACAGCTCGTTTATCTGGAAACAGGAACTAAGGGAAGGGGACTGGGCAGAACACTGGCTTCCCAGAAATTTCAATTCAGTGTGCAACCACACACAGAATAATGAGATACTGGCACGTGTAACCAATACCCAAAAACAGCCCAAAGCATTATGAGAAGCTTTTGGAGAACCACAGCAAGGACTAGCAATGGCAAGTTTGGATACAGCCTCACTTTGGGAACAAGCCACAGCATCTGGCAGAGATTTTGAACAGCCAAGGAGGCTGGAGGAAAGAGTTCTGCCCTGCCTTGGGTGCCCAGAACCAGCACGGCCACCCACTTGCCCTGCTCCCCCTGCACCCGTCCCACGCAGGACGGAGGCACTCACCAGTGGGTGAATCCAGCCTGCCATCCTGCAGGAGGTCCTGCCACACCTCTCTCCCCAATCCCGTGGGATCGAATGCCGTAACATGGGTGACTCCCGTGCCAGCCTGAACAAGGCAAGAGCATCATCAGGGGCTGCTCCTTTGGAGGAGGAGGAGATTAATGCTCTCCCCTGCCCAGTACCACCACCAGGACATGACACTCACTTCTCATGTGCTGCCCAGCAACTCTCAACTTGTAGCCCCAGCCGCTCTCCTGACACCATTCCCAAAGAGGGTGCCATCAGGGAGCTCGTGTCCCCATTCCTGGCATCAGGCAAGAGCTGAGAAATGGTGCCAGCCCCCATCCTTTACCCTACACGCAGCAGGGCTGCACAACCTCCCCGGCAGCAGCCGCAGCAGCAGGGCCAGCCCTTTACCTTCTGCCGGGCAGAGATGGCCAGGGTGAAGGGGTTGAGGGCCGGGCAGTGGTGCAGCAGCACCCCAGCAACCCGCTGGCCGTCCTTGTGCAGGGCGAAGGGCTCGTTCCAGTGCCCGCCGCTGCCGGCCTCCTTCGCTCCCGCGCCGTTCTGCAGGCTGAACATGATGGACACTTCCACGGCCTCATCCCTGCCGTTCTCCACCTCCCAGACGAACACTGCCACCGGCAAGCTGGAGTCCTGCCACAGACGCAGAATGCTGCCTGCAGGGCTGCTGCTCCACAGGCAGCTGCCCCGGCACCGCTTCCCCCCTGCTGGGGACACCGCGCAGCGACAGCGACAGCGCTGGCAAGGACAACTTGGTCTCGGAGTGCTCAGCCAGGCTGATCAACTGCAGCAGCAGCAGCAGCAGAGGGCTTTGGGAGGCAGGCAAGAGAACATTCAAAGGAGAAGCAGCCCTGGGCTGGCAAGCAGCACGCCGGGCAGCAGAGGGACGCAAAGCGGCCCTTAGGGCTCGGCCGGGTGTCTCATCACTCATCGGCTCGGCAGGCTGACACAGGCTCACGGGCTGCAAGGCCGGGGTAAGAGGAAGGTCAGACGTGTCAGCAGCACAGCTGCCACCCTCGCCCGGGGCTGGCAGCCGGCACGGGCAGCGCTGAGCCAGCCCTGGCTGCAATGCCGAGCTCCCGCACGGCTGCGGGGCTGCCCCGCCCGGACCCGCTGAGTGCAGCCCTGGGGAAACGCCGGGAAAGCAGCTGGAGAGCAGCTCTGTCCCGGGAATGGGGAAACGCTGGCAAAGCGGCTGGAGAGCAGCTCTGTCCCGGGAATGGGGAAACGCTGGCAAAGCGGCTGGAGAGCAGCTCTGTCCCGGGAATGGGGAAACGCCAGGAAAGCGGCTGGAGAGCAGCTCTGCCCTCGGCGATGCCGTGGCCGCCTTACCTTATAGTCGTGGGGGATGACGGGCGAGACCTGCCGGCAGGTGAGCACCACCTGCTGCCCCGGCAGCTCGTAGACCAGCCAGGCACGGGGGTACAGGGCGTGGTAAAAGCCGTAGCGGCCGCAGTAGCCCCAGTTCCAGCTCTGCAGGCTGCTGGGTCTCTCCAGGGACAAGACCTGCTGGTAAATGGTCTGCCCCTTGCACCGCAGGCACACTGTGAACTGTGGAGGAGAGGAGCCCGTGCCGGGCATGAGAGGAGCCCTGTGGCAGATGTCCCAGCTGCAGCCCAGGCTGCTGCAGTGACTCTCACTCCCCTCACAGACCCTACCTGATTGGCGATGACTGTTTCATAGTGGTAGAGGCCAGGGTTCAGCTGCCAGCGGCAGAACTCTCCCCGCCAGCCGCGGGTGATGGTGCCTCCCCCGATCCCGCCCAGCGGGCATCCTGGCAAAGACACCAATAGTTAGCAACCCCATTCCTCCCCCAGGTGGCACCTGGCTCAAGAACTCTCCCCAAGCATCTCCGCAGGTGAGAGCCACTCAGTATCACCCAAATCACAAAAGCTCCCCGACTCACTCATTCCATCTAGCACCCTGATGGCCCCGTGTGAATCCCTGCCCACCCCAGGGCCCAAAGTGGAGGCTGACCATAGATCTGCTTCAGAGGAACAGCACACAAGAGGTCAATGAAGGCAGTTTTCTTCTCTATGCGGGTCTTCTTGACCCACCACCTGAAATATCTGCAAGGGAAAGAGATGTATTAAAGAAGTCAGGAGCAGGCAACACCATCCCTCCAGTGTCACTGGGCAGGATGAGCAGAGGTTGAGCTTTCTCTCCTTTCAGAGGTGTACAACAGGAACCCGTGTCCCCATTCCCATGGCACAAGGATGATAAGGCTCTATGACCCATCTGGAGCATGCATCACTCAGCAACCACAAGCAGGCAGAGCTCAAGCAGCTCAGGACTGACTGCAAGGGCAAGTGAAGAGCAGGACTCCCAGGTCATGTAGCACAGGCTTTCCCAGATATTCACTGAGAAGTGGGAATGCGCACAAGCACCACCTCCTCCATGCCTGGTACAGTGTCCTGCTAAGGAAGGCCTGCAAGCAGAGGTGCAAGCCCAGAGGGGACACACACTGCTCCAGGGACACGAGCCTTGCTCTTCTACCTGCACTCCCCCATTGCCATACGCTACCACATCATCAGGGGCAGAGGGCACAGGGCAGCCTTGCCCTGGAAGTGGTGATGGTTGAGTCTGCAGCTGGCAGGATCCTGGGGATTTGCCTGTACCCGCACACCAGCTGCACAGACCAGCACTGCCCATCAGATAATTTCTCACCCAAAGGTCTGGGAACCAAGACACCCAAACAGGGGCACACCTGCAGCTGGGTGTGCCAGCACCACTGCAGGCAAGAGGAGCAGGGCTGGGCTCCGAGTCAGTGCTTGTAAAGCACTGGCTTTGGCTAATAAACTGCCCCAAGTTAAGCCTTCTATACAGAGACAGTTAGCAGATGGAAACAGCTACCAGACCAGAGGCCGCTGAACCTTGCCCAGCAAACAGACAGGTGAGACCCACCTGGCAGCTCCATGGCCCTGGGTGCCAGGTGAGCAGGGGGGACACAGGAGCCCCCACAGAGTGACACAGTCCCTGAGCAATGTCACCTGTGCAAACACCCATGCCATATTGCTGAGCAGAAAGCCACCCCAACCAGGAGCACGCAGCCTGTCCTGCCCCTGGGTGCAGAGAATGCAGAGCACAGGCAATGAGCAATAATCCCCTGGGACATGCACACCCAGGAGCAAGGGCGAGAGGCTCTTGCATGACACCTCTACTACTATGCTTCCCAAACACAAACAACCCACAGTTGATTTTTAGGCTGCTCACTGGGCATTCACCTTTATTCACCAACATCTAAAGTTCCCAAATCCCTCTCAGGGTGAAATTTTCTGGGTTGCAATCTCACAGGACCTGCCTGCAGCCTGACCTAACTGCAGCCCGCTCTCCACTCCTACAAACCCAGCTTTGCATTTGACTGTCTGTGGATGTTTTGCCCACAGAGGTTCAGGACATGATGAGAACCAGCCTGTCCTGCTTGACTGCCCGGAACCAGGGCCTGCCACTATCATCCAGCTGTATCTGCTGCAACTGCTCTTCTCCAGACAGGACAATCCCAGCCTTACCCCACCAAGGCGAGGTTTTGGCAGTGCTCTCTCTGTTTCTCTCAAGGAAATTATTATTATTCTTTTTCAACCCAGCATCGGGGAACCAACCCAGCTGCTTCCCCAGCAGGCTTCTGGCAACAGGAAATAAGGTGCCCAGGCAGAGTGGCTGCAGCACAGCCTCCATCCTGACTTCTTGGAAAGGAGGCAGGAGACGGGTTTCAGGAAGCAGTTTTTACAGGAGAACAGAGTAGAAAAACTTTGGGATTTATTGCCACTGGCAAAGTCATTTTACATCTCAATATGCAAAGTCTTCTTCTGCCAAAATCAGGCAAGCCAGGAGAAGCCTGGTCGATGCCCAATTGCTGGCTATTAACAGCTCTGCCAGGGCTAAAGAACAACAAGGAGAAAGACTGTGTTCTGTAGTCCCAAAAGCCCTGTCAGAGCTGGAGGGCATTTCTTCCCCTTCAAACTGACAGGAGCTAAAACCTAGCTGAACATTTCCCAGCTGATCTGGATGTGTGCCGTGACCCCTCTCAGGACACACGAGCCACCTCTGTGGAAACCCACCTGCACCTCTTCTCCTGCCTCGCCAGCCCCAGCTGAGCCCGCTGCACAGCCCTTTCTTTCCAGACACATACACCCCCACAGTTAACCTGACAAGCCCTGATTAACAAAAAAATCCTGCTTCAGGGCTGTCAACACCCCCAGCCACGTCACCTGCACCTAGGGCTGGTGCTGCAGAAGAGGGCGCCCATCAGCATGTTTAATTCAATGCAACAATGTCAGGATGCTGTGGCTCCTCTGCTGCTCCTGGAAGCCTAAGCAGTAACCCCAAGGTGCTCCCAGTGCCCACAAGCACCTGCACCAGGTGACTTTGCACCTGATGCACCAAGCCATGCCAAGTTTTGGGAACATCCCTGGCACAGGGGACACCCAGGAAAGGGCAGGCCAATCTGCAGGGCTTCACAGATCCCTGCACCATGACACAGAACTGAAAGCCAGGTTTTTCTTGCAGCACCAGCACCCAGGTTTCCATGAGCTGGCTGCCCCAGCCAGGCAGGTGCTGAGATGCCCACCAATGCCTGGAGCATGCAGCCTCCCCTGTATCCTCACCCTGAATGGGCTGCCCTTTCAGCCAGCAATGCTGGCATTGGGTTTTTTGTGGTTCAGAACCACACAGGTATTTCTCGTGACTCTAGCACTTTGTCTCCTCTGCTCTTGTGGCTGGAATCGCCTCACAAGGAAGCTCTTGCCATGGCAAAAGTACTTTGAGATAACAACCAAATTACCTCCTAAACTTGAACAGGCAGTAGCTTGACTTCAAGCTTCTTGCTTTCAAAGACCTTTGCCTCGGACTGATACAAGGCTCTTCCAGACCTCAGTGAGAACAAGGCCAGGATCACCCCTCCTCCCTGCTCACCCCACCAGAACTTCACGCTTTCCCACAGGCTCAGCTCATCCCAACCTGCTGCAGCAGCTTTTCCAGCAGCCTTTATTTATCTCTGGTGCATGACCCACGCTCTCCCCGATGCCCAGACCCACACTGGGGCATCTCAGGTGAGACCAGCATGCCGTGCACCTCGGAGCAATCCAGAATCTGCCCTTTCATCCAGCTTCGCAGGAACCAGCTTGGCAAGTGGCAACCTCCAAGGACACCAGCAGAAAATGGAGGCAGGAGTCATAAATCCGGCACAAGGAAATAGGCAATGGCACCGCAGGTCCCCGCGTTCATCCTGACGGGTGCACAAACCCTGCCAGCACCCGGGACTCCAGCGTTAAAGGTTAAAACAACACTCTCGCTTTCCACGCGTGCTCTCCATCGTTACCTCCAGCTCACCCCAACGCAAAGCCGGGAGAGGCGCCCCGCTCTGACACAGCACACAGCATTCCCAACTTTAACCTCCAGCTGCCAGCACCGCAGACTGCGCCGGGCAGGATGCGCCAGCCATGAGGTTAAATGGGGGTCCCGTCCGCAGGCGATGCCCGAGTCCCCCCGCTCCGAGGAGCCGGGATCGCGGACCGGCGCTGCCCCTCCAGCACCGATCGCTCCCAGCACCGGCGCCACGCAGGCTGCGGAGCGCCGGCGCCTCCGGGCGCTGGCAGGGCGGCTCCCGCCAGCCCGGGGCCTTCCGCGATCTGCCGGGCTGTGCCCCTCGTACCCCGCGGCACCTCCGGTGCCTCCCCGGGGCCAGGCCCCCGCGGCGCCGAGCGGCTCCAGCGCAACGCCGTGCCCCCCCACCCCGCGGGACGCCCTCCCTCGTCCCGCCGTGCTCCCGGCCCCCTCCATCCCCCCGCCGTACCGCAAGGCGAGGCCGACGTGCCGCAGGACATCGCGGAGCGGCACGTCCCCGGCGCCGTAGGGCTGCCGCAGCTCCTCGAAGCTGTGCGCCAGGCAGACGCGCCAGCCGTCCGCCGCCACGCCGCGGCCCTGCGCTGCCCCCTCGTAGCGCCGCATCAGCGGCCACTCCGCCGTCTCCGCCGCCGCCGCCATCACCGCCCCCCGCCGCCCCCGGGGCACGGCGGAAGCACGGACCCGCCCCGCCGCCGGCGCCCGGGGCCGCCCGCCCGAGCGCCGCCGAGCAGCTTCCGAGAGTAGCCGAGCGCTGCTGAGGGGCGTGCGAGAGTTGCCGAGCGCTGTCCGGGAACTGCCCGGGAGCCGACCGAGTGTGCCCGAACTCTGCCCGAGTGTTGCCGAGTGTTCCCGAGCGCTGCCCGAGCTTTGCCGAACTAGGCCCGAGCCTTGACGAACTGTGTCCGAGCCTTTCCGAACTAGGCCCGAGCCTTTCCGAACTCTGCCCGAGCGCTGCCGATCCCCGCCGAGCGGCGGGGGGAGCCGGGCCTGCTGTGGTGCCGGACGGCGAGCGCGGCCTGTGCGGGCGGTGAGTGGGCCCGAGGCGGGAGCTGCGGAAAGTTTGCGGCCCTGTGTGCCTCATCCCTCGGGTAGAGCTATCCGTGCGCGTGTCTGCGTTAGGGGCCGCGGGGCTGTGCTGTCAGGGCTGTCCCTCTCACCGTCGCGGTGTGTCCTAGCCCCGCTTCCTTGCCTGCGTGGGCCTGGGAGGAAGATGTATGTGTTGGTAAAGACGGGGCTGTGCGTGTTTCCCCCCACACCTTCTCTGTGTGTGTGTGTGTCTGTGTCCCCATTCCCCCTCAGTTACATTGCCCTCTCCGTGTCTCCCTTGTCAGCACAAGGGAAATGGCTTTAAACTGAAAAGAGACTACGTTTAGATTAAATATTAAGAAAAAAATCTTTACTGTGAGGGTGGTGAGGCACTGGCACAGAGAAATTGCCCAGAGAAATTGTGGTTGCTTTATCCCTGGAAATGTCCAGTGCCAGGCAGGATGGGGTCCTGGGCAATCTGTTCTGGTGGGAGGTGTCCCTGCCCCTGGCAGGGGAGCTGGAACAAGATGGTCTTTAAGGGCTTTTCCACCCCAAACCATTCCGTGATTCCTTGAACCTATGGCTCTGTGATGACGTGCCTAATGTTGGCTTTTTTGGCAGGTGTGCAGCAGGATTGTCCGAGCCATGATCGAAGTGTTGGCCAAGCTGGGCCGTGGGCCCGTGTTCCTGGCAGGAGAGGTGCTGGAGTGTGTGATCACCTTCACCAACCCATTGTCGGCCTCGTCCACCTCTGCCAGCAGGTACAGGAGCCTGTGCCAGTCCGTGCACAGAGCCTCCCAATGCTGGAGCTGCCTGGGTCCCTGCAGAGGGAGCAGCCCACCCTCTCTCCCCTCTCTGGAGCAGTAGTCATGGCTGCATTGTAGTGCAGTGGTGCCAGCTCAGCCCCTTGTGACTTCCCTACTCAAGGCACTCCCTGAAGGAAGCCTCGCGTCATCTCTCAATTTTGGGGGCGAAGCTGGGGTAATTATGCTGGTTCTGTGTCCCCGAGAAGCAGGCAAGGAAGGAGGTGTGCAGTTAGAGGTTCTCTGTCACTCAGGTGAGCCCGCAGTGACAGTGTCTGGCAGAAAATGAAGCCAAACTGGCTGTCCAAGTGGGCTATCTGGTCACACCAGGGTGACAGTCACACAGAGCAACATCCAGGCAGCGTCATTATTTCCTGCATTTGTGGAAGGAGCTCTCTTTTATCCAGCAGTGCTGGATGGATCAGTGTGATCCCTGCCTCCAGAGGTTGCAGACACAGGGTTAGATCTGAAAGGATCACCCTCTGCAGCCACGTTTCCTGTGGCCCAGCCTTTGAGCACTGCATCTCCCCTTCTCAGTGCTGAGGAGGTGTGAGAAGATGGGAGCTTCCCGAGCTGGCTCACAGCGGGTGACTCTGTGTCACAAGTAACCACCCAAAGCCTTCACGTCCGCTGAGTGTGCGGCCTCGTCTGATTCTTCAGGGAGTGGAGAGTGCTTTCTCATCTTGAGTCCTTCCTGGGAAGTGTCTGTTTCCAGCCCTGTCAGGTTCAGCATGTTTTCATCACCAGTATGATGTTCACATGTGATTGTTTTGGTGGGTCCACTCACAGTGCCTGCAGTCTCAGCAGCAGAGGGCTTCTATATTTATTGCCTTCCTTAACTTTCCATCTTTTCTTCCTGTTGTGTTTTGACTGCAGAGATCAGGTTTCAAATTCAGCTGTGGCATAAGCATCCAGCTTCCCAGAGTTTTGTCCTCTGTGACAACAAAGTCATATCCTGTGTTTTGCCTGCTTCTGAAACCTGTGGGACTGCAAGGGTACCAGGTGGCATGGTTTGGGGGGGCTTCAGTGCATTTATGACAGCTTCATTTAAAACTTCAGATGTGCTGTGGTCTGTAGAGGACTGCCTCTTGAAAAATAAGGGTTTTTAAAATAATAAAAAAAGCCCCAGGTGATCAATCGGACAGGACCTGCTAAGTCAGACGAGTGGCAGCAGCAAACAGATTGGTGGTTTGGAAAATGAAGCTGTGGGTTGCGTAAAGGCAGAGCCAGATCAAAGCACTGAGACTGCAACAGGCAGAGAGTCCTGTCAGAGCCTGGAGGGTTTTGGGGCTGGCAGCTGGAGGGACAGCGAGGCTTCATATTGGGAACAGGGACAGAATGGAAAAAAAGGTAGGAAATTAATTTGATGGTGGAGTACAAGAAACAAATCTCTTTACCCAGAGCTGCACAGAGCATGTCCCGTGTAGGCTGCAGGAGTTGTGGGGGAAGGTGAGACTGGAAGGAAGTGACCTCAGCACCAGTGCAGGATCCTCCACTGCTGAACAAGCACTTGCTGAGTAAGCCAGCTCTGCTGGCAGGAAGGGACATGCAAATTTTATTGGGACATCTGGCTAGAAAAAATGAAAACAATCCAGTGTCATGTTGTAAAGCTATACTGAAATAGAAAGAAAAATTACTCAAAATACAGTGTTTGAAGGTATTGTAATCACTCTAATCTTATGTAAAATTAGCAAACATTGCCTCAAGCAAGAGTAGTTCTCTGCTTCCAACAGCAGATACCTTACAAGAAAAAAAACATGGCAGTCCTGATAAAAAAAGTCATGCTGGTACTTTTAAAAATGCAGAATTACAGCTGTAGGGCTCAAAGGAACTAGGTATAGTAACTGAGGTGTGTTTGGGTAAGGGCAGCCAGCACATGCATAAGATCAAAGAGCACATCATTAGTCAGCTGACACAAATACAGCACACCTTTTCCCCTAGTTCATCTAGACCTTTAACTGCTCTGATGTGTCACATGGAGGGACACTCGTGTGCCACAGAAAATCCCTGTGCCACCTAAAGCTCTGTTGTTCGTGCTTACTAATCAGATTGTGATGTTAGAAAACACCAGAGGAACTATTCACTGGCTAAACCATGGACACCGCTATTGAAATAAAATAGAGGAGTGATTTGGAAACTGAAAGGTGTCACTAGTACCATAGGAGGTGCCCTGTGGAATGGCTGACGTCTCAGAGTCCAAAACAAGGGGTTTTTTTGTGCTGGATGCATGGCCCTACATTACTTCCTGGGGCCAGGAATTAATGTACAGAGAGGGATCAAAATGACACCTTTGCCTCCCCTATTGCCGTCAGCAAAGTCCTTGCATAAGAAGGAGTAAGTAGGTCCTAATGAAAGACCCAGAAGCATCCTCCTGTGGTCTGGCACAAACAGCAGCTGATGTTTGTGTTGGGGATGGTGCTGTGGAGCAGAGGGAGCATGTCTGTGCCTACCTGCCCTGAGTTCTGTGTGCTGTGGGCAGGGGCAGCTGAGCCCAGGCTGCAGGAGTTTGTTGCTTTAGAATTTGCCCACTTCCCTAATGGTTGTGTTGTTACCAGAGTGCTGCTCTGTGTGTCACCTCTGGCTTGGGATGTAACTCCTGATGACTGAGAGTCCTGTGCCAGGGTCCACATGCAGCAGCTTGAGGTGTCCTCCCAAGAGAGCAGTGAGTGGCCAGTCCCAATCTGTGGATGATGCAAAAGATGAACAAATGAGTAAGGCTTTGCACTGGATCTTGGAACAGTTGATCTCAGCGTCGTGGCTGATAGATCCCTGTGAAGTTTTGCACAAACCACCTTGTCTCTTGTCGTCATGGAAGGGGGCAGGAGCCGCTGACCTCTGCTGCCTGTTGTCCTCTGCCACAAGGGTACAGCATGTCTCTTGGGGCAGATGTGTTTTCTCATGCCATGTCAGTGCTGTGACAATGGTGTTGTGGCTCAGACTGCAATTACTGCCTGCTTAAAAAGAGTCTCTGGGCTGCAGAGCCAGGCTTTGGGTGAAGCTGTTGTCAGCAGCTGAGGTGGAAATGGCTTTGAGTCAGCATCCCACCTTGAGCTTACTCGCAAGGCTTGTTTGGAAGGGGACTGTGAGAGTGGCTTCAGTGACAGTGAAGCAACACCTTCTTCCTTCCGACAAGCAGTCCTGCATGGAGCTGAGCTGACAGAGTTGCTCTTCTCCCTTAATTCCTGCCTGCTGTAATTCAGGTTTCAGCAGAGATGTGAGTGTTGCTCTTTGCTTTCAGTGAGATGCTGGCATGGGCCAGCGCCCAGATCCACTGCCAGTTTCATGCCAGCGAGAACCGGGTGGCACTCCCTCCCTCTGATGGCAGCAAGCACGATGTGCAGGCAGAGAATGAGACCGTCTTTGTCCCCAACAGAGGTGAGTGCCACTCCTGCCTTCACCCAGGTAGGGACAGTGAGAGCACAGTGAGTAGGAGTCAAGCAGACCATAATGTGCGTGCCTTGATGCAGGGTGCATAGAAGGGAGTGAGAAGTTTGTGTTGCTTTCCTGGTGGTAGATGTTGTGGGACCTTCTTAATACTGAAATCACAGTGACAGTATCTTGGATTGAAACATGACAGTTGTTTGTCCAGCTGCAGTGGCAATGTCTCATAATATAACCAGGGCAAGAGATGCTTCCTCCCTGGCTCTCTTCTCCCTGTTCCTCCCCAGGGGGATAAAGCTTGACTGACCTGGACACAGCCTGAGGCTGTGCAGCATTCATGTGTTTTTTATTCTCTTCCAGGAGAGCGGGGTCAGTGTATCCTGTCCACCCCACCAAAGATCCTCTTCTGTGACTTGCGACTGGATCCTGGGGAGTCCAAGTCCTGTGAGTCCTGTTCTCTTCCTCTGC